AGAGACTCTTCAGCCACCAAAAAGGCAGCTTTGCTGTCTTCTGCATCGTCAGCAGGAGCGCCATCCATCCTCCTCCACTAATGGAGGTCACCCCATTTTTAAGAAATCCAGCAAAGTGATATTTTTTGGATCTGGTCAGCAGTACATGTTTTCAAAAGAAGCTTGGACCCTATAATCTTTCTCATTCCAGTACTTATCAGAAACAGAAAGAACAGGGAGTACATGTCATGTAATATGAATGTATCAAATCTGCAGTATGTAAAATATGGATTACAGCATCTAGAGCAAAGCGCTTTACTAAGTTAGTGCTTCTCAGTATTAGATCTCTCACAAACAAATCTTCTTTAATTAATAGTTTTATTGTTGCCCATAGACTTGATTTTATGCTTTTAACAGAAATGAATGTAGTGCTGAACCTCCCAGCAACCATTTATAAATGTCTCACATGCCAGTAAGAAAGGAGGTGCAACCAATGCAAGATGGAATCATTTGGTGACTTGTAGTTCTGTGCAATTCTGAATGAGGCACCAAGAATATTACTAGTAATTGTCTGCAGGTCTCCAAAGTTTATTTCAACTGATTTTGATCACTTCATTATTGCTAGTGATTTTAACATAGATATTGACAATCCCAATGATAATTATGCCAAGGAACCCAGACTCTGTGCCATATTGGACTCTTTTAAACTCTCTGAGCATGTGACCAGAAGCACACACTGTCAAGGACAAGCTCTGGATGTGGTTTTCTCAATAGGTCTCAACATATCACTATATATCTCACTAGACATCAAGACCAGACATGTTTGCTTTAATAAAAGGTTTATAGATGACAGCACAGCCACACTTTCATGAGCAAAATGTGCACTACACTTACCATACAAGTCTGTTGATGCTTTGCTGGATAGCTTCAACTCAAAGATTGTTAGTGTTATGGAAGAGAGTGCACCAGTTAAAGTTAAAACTACGTCATGCTAACAGAGAGCACCATGGAGAAATGCTACTATGGTTCAACTCCAAAAGAGAGAATGTAGGAAGGCTGAACACAGATGGCATGAAACAAAGCTTTAGATCCACAAAGAAATCTTCAAAGACTGTGTGATTTCAATGCAAAACTTAGACAATCCCTATCAACAATAACATTAATAATAGCAAAATACTCTTTCCCATGGTTGACAAAATAACAAAGTCACCTACATATATGTAAAAATTAGAATCAAGTGAGAGATGTAATAAGTTTGCATACTTTTTAACACTAAAATCTATAATATCAGACAAACCATTCGTACATCTATATCCACCAATGAGCCCAAGTCCTCTCCATCACCACGTAAAGACATCATATTAAAAATGTCCCAGCTTAGTGCTACTAATAATGACATTTTAATTGATACAGTGAATCATCTCAAATAAGCAGTTGTGAAACCTCTTTTTAAAAAGAAAAATCTAGAAGCAACTCTAGCCCTCTATTAAGTCCTCCTTTTATTGGGAAAAATTATTGAGGAAACTGTCTTTAAGCAACTTACTGGCTTTCTATCCTTAAATAGATGTCTAGACAAATTCCGGCCCAATCATAGTACTGAGTCTCTCTAATTAAGGTTGTAATGACATTCATTTAAATACAGACTATGGAAAAATATCTGTTCTACTCCTCAATCTCAGTGCTGCCTTTCATACCATTGACCATAAAATTCTCATAGATAGACTTGAGACCTGGGTTGAACTCTCAGGAACTGTCCTAAAATGGTTCAGTTCGTTCCTGAAAGGAAGAAACTACTTTGGTTGGTTTGGTACCTATGGTGTCCCCAAGGCTTGAATATTGGGCCGCTCTTATTTAATTTATACATGCTTCCTTACCACAGCTATGCAGATGGCCCTCTCCCCAAACAACTATGTTTGACTAACTTTGGAGGTGACCTGAACACATCACTAACTGCGTGGAGCAAAACTTTCAGCAGTTGAATAAAGATGAAACAGAGATTATTTTATTTGGGAATAGCAATGGGAGGCAGTTACTAAATCATCATTTTATCACCATTAGAACATTAACAAGATTAAAGATTTTCTGACCAAACCAGGCCTGAAGAAACTCATCCACACCTGTATCTCTAGCAGGAATGATTACTGTAATGGTCTCTTAACTGGACTCCCAAAAAAGACACAGTTTCTGCTGATTAAAAAACGCAGTTGGCAGAGTTCTCCTTGTGAGTAAAAGGAGGGAACACATCACCCCGATTGTAAAATCCCTACACTGTCTACCAGTGTGTTACAGAATAAACTTTAAGGTACTTACTGGTCTATAAATTACTTTATGGTGTAAGACCAGCGCGTTTATCTGATATACTGCAGCGATATGAGCTGAGCAGATCTCTCAGATCCTTAGGAAGTAGTCAGTTAGTCTTGCCTAAGGTAAAAACTAAACATGGAGCAGCACCGTTTAGCTACTGTGCTGCTCTTAAATGGAACGAGTTGACAGAGAGTGTTAGAAGAGCCCTGACACTAGACGCTTTTAAATCTGGACTGAAAATGTTCCTATTTGAGAGTTTAAAACACTGTTAGCTCTACTACACTTCTCTCCTGTAACAGCACTCTATTATCCTAATTTAATTTTTAATTTGCTTTTCAATTTAATGTTTAATTTCTTCTCTTTTAAATCTATTGTTTGTGTTCATGTTTTATTCATGTTTTTATCTACATCTTTTTCAATTTTAATTGTCTTTAATGAGTCTTTTCTCATTTGTAAAACAAATTGCATGGTGCAAAGGTTCTGTATGAATAACTTTCCTTTCCTTGCCATTACACTATTTCATGGCACAGCATTGTATCCTGCATTCACATCAGTTTGACAGACTTTGCAAATGTTTTTGTTCATCAGTGTTCTTTCACTACTGAAATATGTTTTGCAACCATTGGGAATCCCTACGGTGAACAACCAGTCCTGACTGCTAATCTAGCCACTGAGCTATAGGCTAATAAATACTTTCAAGCTAGTATAAGTGCTCTTACCTCGTTTGTTGAACAAGATAGCTTTTTTCTTTATCAAAGACATAATTCAGTGGGAGAATGCATGTATGGAGTATAGTGTACCTGGATGTGGAAAAGATGCAGAGGCAAGCATTAAAGCCAGAGTGATTTGCTTGCATACTGGATAAAATTCTTGCCCTGCACACAGGAGACTGTGACAAAGTCCACGAACAAGATGACGACCATTCTTATCTCTCTGAAAAATGTGCCTTCTAAATATTCAAAGGGTTTTTTCACCCTTTTCCCTGACAAATATGTTGAACTTTGCTATTGGAAAGGATGTAAATACACCACAGAAAAAATATACATATTATGGTTCTTGTACTTCAAACTAGAGGACAGTTAGTGAGATTTGAAAACAAACAAAGCAGATCTTAAAGAAAACATTATTCTGTCTATATTCAGCACAAAATGGACAAGCAAGTTTTTACCCTTTCAACCAGAGTAAAGGAGCCAATCTAATTCAATTGAAATTGAAATGATACACACATCAAGGCAGAATGTTTAAAGTGACCAGTGAGTAGTAGTAGTCTCTAGAGTAAAATTTTTAGGGGTGGGCTGTTTGACATGCAGAATTTTTTCCCCCTGCATATATATTCATACAAATGTGATGACTGTTCTCAAATCATCACATTTGTATGAATATATATGCGGGGAAAAAAATATTCTGCATGTCAAACAGCCCCCCCCCGAAAAATCTTACTCTAGAGACTACTACTACTCACTAGTCACTTTAAACATTCTGCCCTGGTGTGTATATATATATATATATATATATATATATATATATATATATATGTGTATGTGTGTTTTCCCATCACTTCCCCAGTATGGGTGGAGACATCCATCCATCCATCCGTCATCTAAACCGCTTATCCTGGGTCGCGGTGGGGTGCTAGAGCCTATCCCAGCTGTCATTGGGCGGAAGGCAGGATACACCCTGGACAGGTCGCTAGTCCATCACAGGGCAGACAGACAGACATACACATTCACACACACACACACCTAGGGGCAATTTTAGCATGTCCAATTGGCCTGACTACATGTTTTTGGACTGTGGGAGGAAACCGGAGTACCCGGAAGAAACCTACGCAGACACGGGGAGAACATGCAAACTCCACACAGAAATGACCCTGGTCACCCGGCCGGGAATCGAACCCAGGCCGTTCTTGCTGCGCCACCGTGCCGGGTGGAGACAAGGAGGCTAATATACAGGAGCAGGAAAGTTGACATTTACTACCAAAGGCTGTATATGCGACTGCTCTGTTTGACTGAGTATAATTGTAAGGTATAAAAGTTATTTTTTTTAAGTATTTTGTAAAACTGGCTGTAGAGAGCTCTGTTTCTCTTTGCTCAGTACTCGGCACACAGTGTGAAAGAGATTTATTTGAAATTGTCCATCGACAGAGCTGTCTGTAAAGCCTTTCTGCAAGAGGTTTTGTATGGTGTGAGTGTATAAATTGAATTATTTTTGTGTCTACTGCTGCTTTGCATGAGGGCTTGCAAGTGACATTCTATAATGAAGGTGGATGTGGTGGACCCACACTGGGACTCTGGGTAATTGAAAAGCAGGTCTGCTCTTTCACCCCCTCCTCCCATTTAACCCAAGCTGTGAATCTGATGGAATTAGCCTGACTCCCAGAGACAATCACAGCCAGTGCTCAGCAGGTGGCTGTAAGACTGACTTTATGTTTTATTTATTGTATATCCATGCTGTTGTAAATGTAATAGGATTCCTCCCCATGTCCTCTTCCATGTAAATGCCGCTCAGTGAGACGAGATGCTCTTTTATGTTTCTGTCACACGGACGTATATCTCGAAGATAAAGAGACTTTTAGGATTTCTCTGTTTATGACATGCGTGGGCTTGACATGGGGTAGGGGTCAGTAGAAGTGTGGAGCTGTCAGCTGGAGAGCTGTCTCTGAGTTGTGACCCCAGGTTGTTGCCTTGCGGCAAACCTGTCATGTGCTGTGTTGGCAGGGTGCGGCTGGAGGCCTTCTCAGACAACAGCGGGAAGCTGCAGCTCTCTCTGCAGGAAATCATCGAATGGCTGACGGCCAAAGACGAGGAGCTGTCTGAGCAGCTGCCCATAGGGGGCGATGTTGGGGCAGTGCAACACCAGCGGGAGTTTCACCAGGTAGTGCCACACGCACACACACCCACACACACACATCTTCCCCACACGCTCATTTACATACCTTTCAATTAGCTGTGCTCTTTGATGTCCAATACTGTTAATCTACACATCTATCAAAATAATGAGCCCAGTTAAACATTTAAGCCTACAGTACAGCGGAAAGAGCTGTGGGGTAATAAATTAGACTAGGGTGCTTGCCCACCCACCTACGCTGGCTAATAAAAAACCCTGATCCATTGTCAAGCAGAGAGAGCGACATGGCTGAAATCTTTTAATTGTATTGCTAAAACCCCCTCTGCATCTCGCCTGTAAAGACCCCTGTAAGATTCCCAAAAATAGAGCAAAGCCAGCAGATGCACAATAGATAGCTTAAGCTTCTTTCATACACTTGCTCTGTTCTTTGAGAGTACAATATACTTCAAAGCTCTGCAAAGACTAGATGCTGGTTGGTAAGTGGTTGTAGAATGAACAGGCTGATACAGTGTCGTATTAGCAATCCGCAGACACTAGCAAAGCTCATACACACAAACATATATATATATATATATATATATATATATATATATATATATATATATACGCATAGAGAACAAGAATAAGTCTTGTGCTGTGCAATTGCTTTTACGTGGCACAGGCACACACTGACACACACCCACACGTGTAATTGGTCAAGTAGTATTGTGGAAAGCTTTTTCCACCTTTGTTCCAATTTTCACTGCTGTCAGTCTGCACTCTGTCTGTGTGGAAGTGGAGCCCAGCACAGGGGGTAGGGGATAGACGAGAGAGAGAGCGACAGAGAGAGAGAAAGAGAGAGAGAGAGAAAGCCTCTCACTTCCATCAGACTGGCTGTGAAATCAGCCTCCCAATTAAAAAGGCCAGTGCCTCACTTCCCTCACGTTGCTTTCACACAATCCATGCACACTGTCTCTCATCCCCATCAACCCCCCCTCGCAAACTCCACATGAACTTACAGGCAAACATGCTGTGAAGCGCCAACCAGTTGTAATCCACTAACACCCCCAGCCTCCCACTCATACCAAACCATCAGAGTTCTATCCTTTTAACAGTTTCCTAATGTCCCCTTTTCTGCTGCCATTTCCATTATAATTATGCATGGTGCTCTCGTTCCCAGAGCACTGCATTTCTCTAAAACTTTTCTGGCAAGGCAGAAAGGGAAATTGAATGGCTTTTTCTGCAGAGAATTGCAATGTTTTAAGAAACATAAATTATTGATCTTAAGTGGATTTTGTATGTTGTGTTCTGTACCTTTTTATGTGTTACTGCCAATTTTGTGTGTGTGTACAGATTTGTACAGTAGTGTGCAAAAGTCAGAGAGCACCCTTTAATTTATTTAATTTCTAGTCAAAACTGCCATTACTTACAAGTTATTCATTTTTTAGTGTCAGGAGAAAAAGAAGAAATGTGTATTTAAGAGAAAATTACACAAAAATGAGTATAATACCTGAGTATTATACTATCACTATCAGTGTTTAATTTGTCCACTCTTATTTTAACAAGGTACAGCTGTGTCCTCCTAACAAAACTCTTTAAAGTATTACTGACATTAACTTCCCCTTAAAAGAGGCACTAGCAATTACCCAAGAAACTACCCCAACTCACCTTAGTTGCTTTGCAAATTTCTAATGTATGTAAATCAAAAATGGCTAAAGCAAATATTTCTGAGTTTTAAGAGTGAACTCTGGAGGTGTTTACAAGAAGCATGAAAAACTGAAAGTAAGTCTGCCAAAAAATGTAAGCTATAATAAAGGCAAAGCATAGAAACACTCAATAATGAAAATATTTATATTATGTTTAGTTGTTGAGGCTTCTGTGTGATTTTCTGTTAAATATATGCGTTATGATTTTTCTTATTGCTGTGAAAAATGTAACTTGTAATCATTGGCCATTTTGACTGGAAATTAAAAAGAGTAACGTGTGGTCTCTGCAGCTGAGTGAAAGACAAGGCTTAATTCATGTCTGAGAAGCCCACACTGATGTGCGAGAGATATAGACAGAGCTAAACAACCAGTGTAACAAGTGAAATTTAGCCAGGATTAAAGTTTGAAGCTGAAGAGAATAAGAGTTATACTCACCTCAGACCTCAGCATATGTGTCTGTTTATGCACAGAGGGGTACCAGAACCAGAACCTTATCAGAGTCAGCAGTTCCCTGATACACTCTTGCGTGTTTACCCTGGTGCACATTTGTCAGTTCATCTGGGTCTGTATTCAGTTCAGTTCAAAAAATGAGTGGTGGTACAGGGAGCTGTTATCAGGAGTGACTTTTGTGTGATTCTTTGGTGTAATGGACACAGAAAGATACTAATTTTTGTGCAGCACAGCAAGAGTAGTTCCGTGAGTAATTCTAGCTTACAATGTAGGAAGTTTCAAGTATATTGTGATCTTTTCCTGCAGCATAAAACTAATTTTGGCTCCTTTAAAATAAAATAACTTTAGAAGAAGTAGTGACATATTTGTCATATTTTCACGTAGTTGTATATGGAGTAAACAGAGTACAGATTTTACTCGCAGTTGGGGCCTGACTGATAATGAGGTACCAAAGATTTATCAATAATCGTGAAAATTCTCTTTGCTTCACATTCCAGTGCCAGTATTTATATTATTTCTACAGTGAGTTTCTGCTGTTTTATTAATGTGACAGTCAGGAACTGACAACAATATTTGACAGTTTGTAGTTGGCAATTGATAATCAGTGAGTAAAGCGTTGTTTAACTGAAACCATTTAGTCTGATACAGTTTTGACCCATGTTAAATTATGTCCACCGGTATTACTTGGTATCAGAATTTTTTGCTGTAGATGTTAGTAATGATTAGTTGAAGATACAGGTCTAAATGTTCATGTTGATCTGGATCAAGATGAAAGAGCAGCACTGGCTGTTGATTTATTGAGGAAGAAGTCTAGGATGAATTTCCCAGAAGTGCAGGTATAGTTTACTGACTGGGCCAGTGGGTCCAGAGCCCTGGGGCTTATGACTGGAAGGGGCCTGAGACCAGTTGGCCCAAGGGTTCTCAAATACTTGGGATAATCCACTGCAGATGTAAGCAGTAGATGAATGAATAGCCATTGAATATGTTTAAATGACTGAATGAATTAAATAAAACAAAAAATCTGTTCTCAGGTTTGATATTATATTGTTGATTTTGTTGCTGCTATTTACTCATTGATGTGTGTAGGAATATTTCTGCATCATGTCTCAATTTGGCTTAAAGGAAAAAGAGAAGTCTATATGCAAGTTGGTCTTTTTAACCTTACACAAAAAGCATAAACTGTTACCATGCAGACACAATAGAATATTGCACATCGTTAATAAGTGGAATAACTATTGTTTACTCTTGCTTTTAAGGTATTTATTGATTTATTTAGTGTTACTGTAAGAGTTTTAGAGGCCACCAAAGATAATGGTGCCCACAAAGCCATGATCCATCCCTGCAGAAGCATCATAGCAAATTATCATGAAATGGAACAGCATGTATAACTGTGAACACTGTCTAATTTTTCTAACTGTGCTTTTGGAAAGCTGATCCTTGGGTAATACGTGTCGTGTTGGTAACCCGTATGCCGAATGAGAGTGTCCTTCCCATTCCCCCCTACTTGGGCAGCTTTTGCAATAGGAAAGCTATCTAAATGGCGTCAACTGGAACTTGTCTCATGAGTTTAGATGCTTGTGATTTGTGATGAGAACAGATGAGCAGTCCACTCCAGGTCTCTACATATTTATACACATAACTTTCTTGTGCAGTCAGTGAGCCAGTAATGTGAGTAAGAGACTTTTTTAGAGGGTGTGTGTCTTTGTGAGTATGTTTGTGCAAATATACATATATGTTTCATTTTTTATACATGTGGTATGCTTTTGCTAGAATGTGCATACGAATGTGCATTAGCTTTATCTCTGGCTTGTGTCTGCAGGCCTTCATGGAAGATGTAAAGTCCAGGGGGCCTTTCATCTACTCAGTTCTGGAGTCTGCCCAGGCCTTTCTGGCCCAGCATCCATTCCAGGAGCCTGAGGAGACGCTGCCAGATGGCAAAGGTCTGCTACCTTTTCTGAATACTCTCCCCAAGCAAACACCGGCCACTTAAATTCCAAATCCCTTAGCCTCCTTATTAGACCAATGCAGTACAGGTGCTTCCAGTGGGCATGCTTAATCAGAAACCATGACCCTTTATATACGTCAGCAGCTGGAGCTGGGTCATCCCCAATTAGACAAATGCAGCTGTGCATGTGACATACGGTGACATCAATAATGAAGAGAGTGGGGCTGTTGTTTTCACAGTTTTGGCTTTCTCGTCTCGTCTCCTCTCCTGTATTCTCCACCCAATTCCTTTTCTCATGCAGAGGTGTCTCCAAGGCGGCGGATGCTGAATGTGAGCCGCTCAGTGTGGAAGCAGGCCAACGTGGCCAGCGATCTGTGGGAGAAACTGACGGCGCGCTGTGTAGACCGGCACCGACACATGGAGCGCACTCTAGAAAGGCTTTTACAGGTCCAAGCGGCTATGGAAGAGCTGGCTGGGGCTCTGGAGCAGGCCGAAGGAGTGAGAGATGCTTGGGAGCCTGTGGGAGATCTCTTCATCGACTCTCTGCAAGATCACATAGATGCAACCAAGGTACAGCAAATGAGCTTAAGTTTTTTGTGTAGCCTGGATGTAGGAGTAGGCAGTATGATAAAAACCTATTTTCCTTATTTTCCTTACCTTATTTTCAAAAATGACATGTTGGAATATTGCATTTTTTGAGGTTTAACAAGTTGGATATAGAAGTGACACTTTTTCTTTTTTAATGCTAATACAGATGTTTGAGGATCAGTCAATGATCCTGATGTTTCTTCTTTAAAAAATACTAAGTGAAAACTTAAGCTAATACTGAGTTCACTGACTTCACTGTAAGATGAGTATCTAAAAGTAGGCTATCATGCCTAAACTACTCGCTCAACTATCCCACATGGGCACCCCATCAAAATCTCTGTTTTTAATAAAGCGTATAGTTAATCAGTGTTCTTCAAGTACTAACAATATCCACAATATTCTCAGAAAAGCTTGTTATGACATCATTTATAGTGGTAATGTAATGATATAATCATATCACCAACTCCTATGTAGAAGAGGCTGTATGACGTTTGGATTTTAAAGATAAACAAAGGAACGGTGGTTGTGCATGAAGAACAGAGCGTATTTCTGATGTGAAGAGCACAAGTGAGAGTAGTTAAGCAGGTTGCAGTGCTTGCTGGTTTTTTGTTTATGCAGCATAGCTGGCTGCCCACTCTCTGGGATGCATTTACCTGTTTTGCCTCTAATAGTTCTCCATTAGAGCCTGACTAAAAGCTCAGAAAGAATGACCAGCACAGCTGAATTAAAGTCACAGTGGGGCAGTGGGTTGTCCCCCCGTCTGTGCTAATCCGATCAGTGATGGGCTCCCAGGTGGTGCAGCTGGCTAAGAGGGTTGCCTCCTATCTCCAAGACCCCAATTCAAACCTTAATGATGCCGCAGCAGTTTATGGCCAGAGGTGCAAGAGAGCACAACTGGCCCTACTGCTCTCTGGGTGGGAAGACTAGTTCCTCTGTTCTATCGATCTACAGTAGTTGCTGGCCAGTCTTGAGTGCGTTCACCTGTCCTGCGATGTTACTTGAACAAATTCAGTGGCCAGCTTTATGTGTTTTGGAGCTGTATTGGTGCTGTGTTAGAAGAGAAGATTGTGAGTGAAAAGAGAACTAACACTGAGAAGATAAATGGGTAAGAGAACACTGATCAGTTCTCAGTAAAAAGATGGTTGTGGGCTCTCATTAAAATTGATGTTTGTGGCCTTGTTGCAAGTGGGAGATGGCTGAAACATGACTGCTTTAAAGTGGGGACTGTTTTCCCTTATATTTTTTAATTCATTGGCTTTTGTGTTCCATTCCCCTGTTATGATTAGAAATGGTAATTTAGTGGAGCAGTGTCCACATTTACTCTGTCATCAGGGCTAGCATGCATTTCAGGGGCCTGCCTGGGTGGTCGTGTCAGCGGCCCTGTCTAAACAAAGTTGTGGACCTCATGTTCCTGTCACGAGGCGGCAGTCCATTAAGCACTGAGCGTGAGGGTTTGCTGCACAGACTTCCAGCACATTATTATCTTGATTTGCCCTGGACGTGCAAGAGCAGTGTGAGCTTGCTGACACATCAGACCTCCAGCTGTTCAAGTGCACACTGAGGCTGACCAGAGTGCTCCCTCCTCTTTTTCCCTTTTCTTTCTCCCCTTCTGTTTCTGCAGCTGTTTAAGGAAGAGCTGACCCAAGTCAAGGAGGGTATGAAGCACATCAACGACCTGGCCCACCAGCTGGCCATCTCTGACGTGCACTTGTCCATGGAGAATGCCCGTGCCCTGGAGCATCTCAACAGCAGGTGGAAGCTGCTGCAGGTAGACCGGACCCACCTGTAACGTTGCCTCAGCCTTTATGGGGTGTTTAGATCGAGGCATAATGCATGCACTGCAGGGCAGTAAGGATTGCATTACTATTTTGACTATCTTGAACTTCAAATATACTTTATATTTGAAGCTCCAGATAGTCAAAGCCAGGGCCAGGAGGATCTGTAAAAGTGAGACGTAATACTTCAACAGAGTAAAGGATGCCCATTTCCAAAGCCAAATATAAAATGTCAGTCACCCGAGTTAAAGAAAAAAGTTGCATAGTCCTTGCTGGTAGGGATCTGCTAACTGTTTACTTCTGCTCATAAAGTCATCAGAGGTAAGATATAAGTGAAAACGCCCACTCTGACAGTATGCTTTAACTTAGGACGCTTGATGCGCGTTGGAGCTTAACTATGAGGTAAAGGTGAGTGTCACGATTATGAAGGCAGTAACACAACAAATTTGAAATTGCTTCTTTTTGTCCACTATGCCACTAGTAAAGTTCCCACCAGTCCAAATAGAGGTTTCTATTTTGCTATGGGATGATCCGAGCCTGGTCACAGAGTGCACCTGTCTGTGGGGGTGAAAAGATCAGTGGATTAGTGTAAAACAAAGAGCCAGAGCCAACCTGAAAACAATATGAGAATGCAGTAGATAAAGATTGTATGTTCAGTCTTGTTTTTTAAAGTGGTGGACATGGACATGAAGAAAATGCATACATAGTGAAGGAGAGGGTATATGTGACCATGTCTGCTAGTGTTTTGTGTAAAATTTGTTCTATATAGTTCTTCCTTCCTATAATTTTGGTGTGTGAATACTGTAATAAATGTTAAATCCTACTCATTTGAATGGAACAATCTGCTCCTCCTGCTTGGGACCCACTCACATAGATGTAGCGCATTTTAAAGTCTAATTCTCTAATATTTTTCCTCTTAAATTATTTATCATCTCAGCTTCGGGTGAGTCTGCTCAATCAGTTCAACTCAGCTACACTGAATGCAAACACACTCACACATAAGCACTCACACACAGACAGCATTTCTGACTAGCTGAAAAAATGCCCTCAGTCTTGCACGGATATTTCCATTAATTACCCATTTCCCATGATGCACAACAGGGAGTGTATATTTAGGTTTAATATAACTGTGTCAGTTAGGCCAAGTGGTCTCAATGTTTACATTGACTAGCAGAGACATGTAGTGTCTGTGGTGCTACATTAACTTCCTATTATGTTCAAGAAGGACAGGGTGTCCTTGAAATGTCTAGAAGTGAACCAGAAAGGGAGAAAGAAAGGAGAGTGCATTGTGGGCCTTTGTGTTCACATGAATGGATTTGCTGGCCGTTGTTTATGTCTATGTTTTGACATCCCTCGACGATGATTTACATGGCAAATCCAATACCTTGTAAATAAACTGGGATTAGTTAGGCTAAATCCCCCAGTGACGGTCGAGTGGAGAGAGAGAGAGGGCCAGGATTGATCGCAGTGAACTTTTTGTGCACCAAAATGCCACCTCCCGCTCACATCTAGCTCTCTCTTCCCCTGTTCTGTCCCCTGTGTAACACATAGCCTTCCTGGCACATTTATTTCAACACAGCTATTGTCTTCATTTGAGTCTTTTTCTGGCTCTTTCAAAGGACTGAGGGAAGGGGCCAGGGGACGTGAGAAGGACTTGCTACATCTGTAGCTAAGCCTAATCGTGGGAGAGGACAGAGACTATGTGTGTGTGTATTTCTGTGTGTGTGCATGTGTACATGTTTCTGTGTGTGCTCTCGGAGGGGAGTTAAGGACAAGAATGTAGAACTGTCTCTTGTGATTCACCCCAGGGTCTCTCTCTCTGTCTCTCTCTCCCTCTTTCCTTCTTTCTCTTTCCTCTCAGGGCTCAATTGAAGAGCGCCTGAAGCAGCTGCAGGACGCCCACAGAGACTTTGGCCCTGGATCACAGCACTTTCTCTCCAGTAAGAGAGCTGTCTCACTTGAGCTTGCACTGGGCTGCCTGCTGCTCGTGGGTTGGGGCAGTACTGGGACAGAGATGGGAGATAGGGCTAATATGGAGATATGAGCTGCTAACTGCAAATGAGTGGCTGAAAAATAAAGCAACACGTTAGAGTCAGCATCGTGGGCTGCCTCTGTTCCCTGTCACTCCAGAGCTCCAGATCTATGCTGAGGGAATCCCACAGTGCATGCAAAGTGATCCCCTCTGCGCTGGCAGAGTTAGCTGAGAAAGCGGATCACGCTAAACTCTTAGGCTGCTGCTGATGAGCCATGACTCTCTGGGAGCTGGAGACAACACGTGCACAGCTGTTTTAGTGATATCTGCTAATATAGGCTGAAACAACTCAATAATTTAGAACTTAGTAATTTAAAACCGCACTAAGCAGCACTTTTTGCACTGCAGATTCCTAGAAATGAGTAATGTCCTTGCATAATACAATGTTAAAAGTGTTACTGTGAGTTTTAATGTATCCTGTTATATTCAAAAACAAGGTATTTTTCTCCAAATTTAATCATAGGTTAGTCTTCAGTCTTTGTCATAGCACACATGAAAACATTCACCAGTGCTTATGAGCCTTAACATATTTTTACACAGGCTGTGGAACGTGATTTCAAAAATGGGTCATATTTTATTCAAAACTGTTATGTATTTTCTCCAAATTTAGAAACCAGTCCTAGAATTGTAAGTGTTTTCTGCTGTCTTCCTCCAATTCTATCAAGGCCCACCACCTTTTTGAACTTCTGGTCACACAATTGAGGAGAACACTCAGAATAGAATGCTAATTGGTTGTCAGCAGCTATGAAGATGCTTTACTTGCTGCTGTGTCGAATAGCAACAGCGATGAGAGGGACTTGGCCGTCTCAGTGTAAACACAAAATTATGCTCTATGAATTATTGACAGTGAATGGCACAGCTGGAATTTGAACCTGAATTCCAGCTCTGTATTGCTAAACAGTTCTTTTACAGGAGTGTTCAGTGCCTTTTAAAAGATTGCATTCTCTCTTCTGAAAAAATATGTCCTCAGGTATTCTAAACACCTCTTGTGTACTCGTGTTTTGTTGTCTCTTTGCATGACGGTAGTGTGCCTGGAGGAACCTGACCTATGCCATTTGAGATTTTGCAAATAGATTTTCATGCATGACATGTTTTTGTGGTTGATAACTGCTCTTTCTCTCTCTCTCACCCCTCTCCCTCTCCTTTTCTCTGTATCTAGGTTCTGTGCAGATACCTTGGGAGCGTGCTATATCCCCCAACAAAGTGCCATACTATATCAAGTAAGTTCAGCTGTGAGCCATCTGCAGTCAGCGTGCATTGGCAGCCCACAAGACAAACCAGAAGTGAAGGATGTTGGTTTATCTAGCAGAGAGAGAGAGGAGAGAAAGATTCCTGAAAAGGCAATTACTGTTCCCTGGTGCAGAAGATTATTGTGCTTTGATACAAACAACATTTCGACCATGGCAAGCCATTGTCAGACAGTCTGCTATGTTTCACAACCCATTTCTGTTTCCATAGATGTCGGTCAGTCAGCCTTGAATAGGGACATTAATGGCTGTTGTCTTTTAGGGGAAAGAATTGGACTTGGTCCCTCTGCTTTGTTTGGCTTATCGATATTCCTCGCTGACCGTTGTTTTCTGAATTGGACTCCATCAGTGCATCTCTACATTGCCTCTAGCTGTGGCATCCGATGCCTTGCATGTCTTGTGCACGGTTTTTATGGGCCACGTAAGTGGGCCACGGGAGGGAAGTACAAATGGACATTGTTTGTCGCCAGTCGATCAATGTAAACTCTTCTCAGGTAATTATGAGCAAGTGAATGGCCCTGCAGCTCCTGGCAAACTGCCCTCTCTAGGCTGCCTTGGCTATTTCTTTTTTCTCGTTATTCATTCATTTGATATCTCTCTCTCGCCATCCTTCTTTCACAGTATTGCTGCTTTAGTAAGCGCAGCGATACAGGAGAAGAGAGGGTTTGTCCATGCCATGCTTAACGCTGGAAAGAGTGAAGTGACCAAACTGTGCAGTGACTGCAGCTACTGGACATTTATTTTGTTGCTGTCCATAAAAAGGATCTCCAGTTTTCTGCATAATTTTAGCTGAGCAGCTGTTCTATACATTGTGTGAAAATTAAATGATGACTGGACCAATAGAAATGCTCCAAAACTGTTTTGAATAAAATCTCTTTGCATAAACGTACACTGAAAGTTAAGAAAGTTTTTGCCCTCTCCTATATAGTTATCATTTTGCAGATTTGTTTTTCTTTGGACAACAACAGTTTGCGAAGGAGGACTTAAGATACATGCTGTGTTTGGTCTTTGTTAAAACTTCATTGGCACAGACCAATTAAAGCGTTGCAGGATGTAGGCACTTAACCGGCTCTGGACTTTTCTTTTTCCAGCTGCAGCTTTTGTGCTTTTGCACTGTGCTTGCTGCACTTTCTCTGCCTTTCTCTTTTTTTTCTCTCTCATACTCCCCTTTTCACCTTCCTTGATTCTATGCACATTTACCTAACTGTATTGTGCTCATTTCTTATTATTCTTTCTCTTTCCCTCTCTTTCATCTTTTGAATTTTTTTCTCTTGCTCCCTTCCTTCCCATTACTCTATCACTCTTTCTAGCCATCAGGCTCAGACAACCTGCTGGGATCATCCAAAGATGACAGAATTATATCAAGCACTGGGTAAGACAATTAAATTCACTCTGTTTTCTCATCTTCATGTACCACCTACACTGCCCCCCCCACAAAACATATATGGCATGCACACAGCTCAACCACACACACGCTTCAGCACCTTTTCCTTTATTGTAGCCTCTTCCCCACTGAGACACCACTCTCATTAGCAACCATATGATTGCATTGCCTGCTCTAATTAATAGTGATTGAAGGGCATTTTCTATGTGTGTTAATTTGAACTGACGCAGCCCCCCCCTCCAAACACTGATGTGACCAGAGCTGCTATGCCACAAGCATGCTCCCACCCGACTGACTCATCCCTTGCTGAAGGGAGGGGTGTTGTCAAATGGGTGTAAATGTTTCTCCTCCAAATTATTTTTCTAACTCTTTTTTTCTCTTTTTTTGTTTTCTTCTCATGGTTTTACTCTCTCGTAGCGGACCTGAACAACATCAAGTTCTCCGCATACCGGACAGCCATGAAGCTGCGGCGAGTGCAGAAAGCTCTGAGATGTACGTGCTAAGGGACCTCCTGTCTCTCTCTTCATAATCACTCCACTATGCCCTTTCTTTCACCTGCCACTGACGAATGTCCTTTTCCACTCTCATAGTGTATCAGTCATCGATTAGTTGCGGATAGGGCCCAGCCTGCTCTGTCAGTTTCATTAGGGCCCAGCGATTTTCGTGCAGGCTAATTAAGCCTAATAATTGGTGCGATTATGCGTCTTATAGGGAGGTAATTAAACAGTCTTGATGAGGAATTGGATGATCTAGTGATCCTCCAGAGTCAGGATTGGCAGGCAGTAGTTTATCTGCTGCTGCCCAGGTAAGAGCTCACTCTCTTGGGTATGCAGCAGTTCGACTGCTCCTGACCCTTCTGCCCCTGGATGGGTGCAATCCAGCAGCACACACCTGCGCAGAGCAGAGGCATCTCTTTCAGGGCCATCTACCTCTCCTCCCTCGACCCCCTTCAAAAGTTAAATAAATAATTCTGCATACGTACACGCTCAGTGCACTGCTGAGGCAGCCTTCATTTTCCTTTATCTCTCCTTTCCCTTCGCTCTCTCTCCCTCTCTACTCCTCTCTCTCTCTGGGGCACTCACTTTCTCATTCTCAGTTTCTCCTGCTCTCTTTCCTTATCCTTACTTTATTTCTCTCTCTGCTGGTCCGCTAGTCCATGTCATTAGGAGAATTAATTACCAGGCTGGCATAGTAACTCTGCAGTTTGCCGTGCTAGCTGGCTGTGATGGAAGAAGGCAGCACAGGAAGAACATCCACCAAGGCCTGTTAGTGTCTCTACGACCATCCCTGAAAGCACTCCAGCCACTCTCCCACTATGTGTCATCTCATTATCTTATTATCCAATTAGGCATGACATCAGTGGACAGCTTTAAATCTATAGCCTGTTTGGAATGGCCTGGGAAAATTACTTTGGAAGAGGCAAATTGAATTAGCTTGCACTCCACGCACATAATCCACACCCTGAAGTTTTAAAAGGTGCAACAGGCCAGTAAGCATTATGTTGTGTGTTTATGTCTGTAGTGGATCTGCTGAAGCTGACGAGTGTGATCGAGGTGTTCAGAGAACAAGAGCTGCAGCATGGTGAATATGTGATGGACGTGGTGGAGGTGATCCATGCCCTCACTGCCCTGTATGAAAGACTAGAAGAAGAGCGATCTGTACTCATCAACATCCCCCTCTGTGTGGACATGTGCCTCAACTGGTTACTCAATGTCTATGACAGGTGCTGCCACATTACCACAATACCTCTGATGTGCTGTTGCTTGACATTCTTTGACCTCATGACCTCCTACACCCGCTGACTCTCATTTATCATCCAATCACGCCCACTTCACCTTTGGTTGCCTGTCAAGGTTAAGGCTCCTGCCCCCACTGCTCTGATTGGTGGCTTGATTTAAGGCGCTCTTTTATACCAGGGCTGTGTTTTCTCTGTGCGCCTGTGAAGTGAATTAGATCATGACAAAGGCAAAGGGAAATCAAGACAGGCAGGCAGCCAATCAGAGCATGTGGGACGGAGTTAAAAGCCCCCTGCTTGATCTCTCTGCCAAAGCTCTTGATTGAGAATTTTAGGCAACGAACATAAAAAGGCGAAACAACCTCTCAGTTTTTTTTTTTTTTCTATCCATCATAAATTTGTTTAGCGGCTCTTAACTACCTGCTGCTAATGGCTGGAAATCACCGCTTTTACCCTGCACATAAATTGCAGTAATTGCTTTTTTTGTTTTGCGATAAACACAGCGAGTGAATGAGAATGAGCTGTGTGCATGGGAATGATAATCACCAGTTCCCAGTCAGACAAGCAGGAGAAATGTTTGCTTTCGAAAAACAGCCCTAACAGGGGGATTTGTCCTTATATCGGGCAAAAGACAACTTTGTAGTGTTACATGAGATTGGTGGAATATTTCTGGAGCTTGAGCAAAAATTCTGAATTTGTTCATTATTGTTGGGGTAACTCTCCCTCAAGCACAGCATCCCCTCCCTCCGATCAGTTTCAAGCATATCCACTTTCCCTAAGCCTCTGTACATATTGTACTTTTTAGGCTATTTAAACTAGATCCAGCACATGAGTGATTCAGGTAGAAGGATTCAGCTCATTCTGCATGAGGCTCTTTCACCCTTAGCTCTTCCAGCTGACTGCATCTATTCAGCGACTAGGCTATAAAGAGTTTTGGTAATGCCTTGGGCTCAGTCACTTACTCACTGGACTGTTACTCTCCTCTCTCTACACTATAGTCTTCTCACCGTCTCCTCAGCCTCATGAGCTCAGTCACCTTAGAAAAGGTACAGTCACCGGGGGTCATGAAGCCCATTCTCTATAGCACTGTATTCAGTTACTGTTGGTTGCAGTGTTGGGCCCTGTCACTGTCTCACTCTTTTTCACATGCACTCCATAGGAGTACACCAAGGACACCTAGTTTAAGACCTTGAAGATTTTCATTCAAGACCTGCATTTTTTTACCTGTCCCTCAAACCTTCATGCTTATGTTTTGCTACATAGTGTTAAATGAATGCTTACAGTATTTAGTTGAGTCCAGTTGGACCGAACACTGTCAAAGTAATTTAACTAGTAACTAGTAATTTTGCAATGTGCCCCCTCACTTTCAACACCGCATACACTCATCATCCAATTAGAAACACCTACCTTGTGTTTCCACTCACTATCCACTTTATGAGGTTCACCTGCCTTACTGGTACACTATGTACACTGCCTGTCAAAAGTTTTGAAGTGCAGTGTCTTCTACAAAGTGTCTTTGTAATTATTTGACAGTTTTTGCCAAACCATTGTTAAAAGCACTTGAGAATCTGTTGACCTAGTGGTGGTTTAAACACCTGAAAGGTTTGAGTGCTGATGAGTGCTCATAACAAGGAGCTAAAATGTGTAGCGTATACCATTATTTCCGAGGTAGCACTGTTACAAAGATTGTAACAAATGTTTACATGTGATACTATTTTCTTCAAAACCATTAAATATAAAATCTGTTAATATGTTATCAGTATTTACTCTTTTTAGTTATATCAAACTGGCAGTGAAAATGAACTCATTTGTATTTTGAAAAGCTAGTTGTTCCCACACTTCTGACTAGTGTTAGAATGTAGGTACAGAGTGTTGTTACACTCAGTGTGTTAAATACGCTTTACCCCATTCATCAATGGCTAGTTTCTGGCAGGACTACTGTTGACCAGACGTTATTTGGATTGTGGACCATTCCCAACACAGCAATGTCACTGACAGGGCAGTGGCATAGCAGTTGGTGTCATGCTGATGTTAGTATCAGATACAGTAGTGTTGCTAGGTTTGTACTAAGGATGTGAATGATTATCCATTAACTGACAAAAAAAAGAATTGTTCAACAATTAATCAGTTAATGAACAACTGATGCAATAGACAGTTGGTTTCTCATGCAACTAAAAATTGTAGGGATGTCCAGAGATACTGAAGTGCTTAGTTAACTGTTCAAGGTGTCATTACATTTCATTGTGGCTAACAAGTTTAAAATTTGATGGTATTGCTCATATTTAGGTAGAAGTATCTTATGTTAAACTTTATCTTATGTTATACTATACAAAGATGTGTTGTTAAGGATGTAGCTAAGAAGGCAAAAATAGCATATAACTGTTTCACTAACTTGGCTAGCTACTATTAACTAAATCCAGAAACAATAAAAATATATTTCTCTGACAAATAACATGTCAGCACATTGTCCTAGAAATATTTTGTGTAGAAGATAGCAAGTCCTCATCAGCACCAACGTGACACTTGACTTTTTTACTCATTGGCCTATCTTACGAAACAGCCTCCATTACTCAGTCCTACATTATTCTTGGCCAAAGTCCAACCATTGTTTTTCCTTCCCTATGGTTAACCAGACACCTGTTCTGAACTCTTGCCGATACTCAAAATGAAAAAGTAAAAAATGGTGCTCATCTATGTGTGAGATTTTTAGGTTATTTGAGTTCTTCATGCAGATGATCAGGACAAGAGAAGTGGTTATGTTGCTTTTGCTTTTCGTTGATTATTCTGTGCATGGAAACACATGGGCTATAACCTGTAACAGTATACCGGTACGGTGGACCATGCAGAAGGTGTAAAATTGCAATCCGATATCGACATCGATACCGATATATAAAAAATATAAAATGTAACAATTGGACTAAATTATTAGGTAATTTGCCACAGCCTGACTAAGATACAAATTTAGAAACACATGATAAACACCTAATCATTATTCATGTGATGTGATATACCACAAAAAGAGAAGATCTCTAATTGAAATTCAAATAGAAATATGGTAGCATTTAATAAAAAAGTGCTTTTCAGCATTACATGAACACAAAAAGGAAACGTAATTAAGAAAATGGAGAAAAATGGAGAAAAAAAATCTGGTCAGGTCAAAATGTTTACAAACATACATAGCCTCACATCCAAATGCTTAACTAAAAGTAAAAAGACTCCAAATAAGAGAGAGAAAAATATAGAGAGTGAGAGAGATGAGCAAGGTGGGGGGTGAAAGTGGGGGTTAGGTGTTTTTCTCCACCTAACACAGGTTTGTACAAAACAATTATACCATTATGCAGATCAAATTTAAATGAGACTGACTGCACATTTGATTGCTGATTTGTCAGTACATATCAAAACTACTAAATGTAGACTTGGACTGGTTCAGAAACATAACTGAACACAATGTCATTGGTTAAGTGAGCCAAGATAGTGTCCCTAATTCACATCCTAATAACATCTGGAATAGTCACTCTCAGTCAGGCCTAAGGCCTCAAAGGTTCCCAACTAATCTCAAAGGTACCTTTCACCTAGTTATACAAAGGTGGAAATACCCAGTTCCAGCTGCTCAACCATAGGCCATGTCTGATGGCATAGTTTAGTGTTGGGCAAGGTAAAGACCTTACCTTATGTCTCTCAACTGACAGTCAGTCTCCAGGTGTCATGATGTCTATGATGAGAACAAACACCACACAAATATACCACAGGCCTAATAAAGACACAAAATAAAGAAAAAAAAGATGTTTTTTTTCTAGTTGTCAGAAAAATATTCTATATTAGAATATTTATTAATTAAAGATATAAATTTAAATACACATTCAGATAATCTCTAACCCTTCAAGGTCAACTTAGATTAGCGAAATGGAGAAATATAACATTCATTTGTATAGGGTTACAGATGCTGTAAAATGAATTAAATGCAGACATTTTTGTGTAACAGTCCAGCGTAACCTAAATTGTCTGCTTCTCTCAAATACAGTAAATATGTCATCAGGTAGATTTGAAATAGCAGTCAAATCTATACATCTGTATGTATTCATCTGCTGATTTTTTTTTTGAGCAGTTATCTGCCGATACTGATATATTCCAATATCATTGTGCATCACTAGTCTGAACAAATCTAAAACTTAATGAAGATCTGTATAAAGGCTTGCATCAGCATGATAATTTACAGAAAGCTCTATATGGACTGCACCTAGGGCTCCTGCGTATATGCCAAATAAAAAATGTCAGTCATGGGCTGCTTGGTGTATACTCCACCCAAATCCCATGTAGATATTACTTATATCTGTGTGTTGCTAGGTAAGTTTTTTGGTGGGGGAGAGACATACTGGTGATTCTAATTTAGATTCTGATTGTGTGTATATAATTTGAACTGTGGATTTGGGATGCCCATTTTGATGCCAGCAACATGTTTCCAAAAATGTTGGGTCAGGGGCAACAAAAGACTGATAAAGTTTTTAGTTATGTAAGAAGTTATGTAATGCTAAAAAACAACACGTGTTGGAACATTTTACAACTAATTAGGTCGTGCAACAATTAAAAAACAACATTTCTCAACATAAAATAGCAAAGAATTTCATTATCTCCAGTATATAATATCCTTCAATGATGAATCATTAAATTCAAAGAACTCTCCCCATATGGAAAAAAAATATATGGACATATATTTTTATATATTTGAAATACATGTCAAATACATTGCAATCCAAGCCAAAATATTTTCCAAACACTAAAATGTATTTCAGGATATATTGCCATATTAACCATGTATATTATGCAATGCATGTATTTTGAAATGCATGGGAAAATATTAAACATAAAAGTGTACCATACAAAAGTGAATGTATGTATTTATCAAATACATTTGAAAATGTATGAACATAGCCATAATATTACAAAACAATTCTTAACAGTTCTTGAGTTCATACTCTTGTCCTAACTCCAGATCAGAAAACAGTTTTACAAAAGTGTCCTAACTAGACAAAAATCTTCTTTCCTAACTTTAAGTGGAAGTTGAAAATCACCCTTGAGAGGTCGCCAGTCCATCACAGAGCATAACATACATACATACATCATCTAAACCGCTTAGCCTTCTGGGTCGCGGTGGGGTGCTGGAGCCTATCCCAGCTGTCATTGGGCGGAAGGCAGGATACACCCTAGACAGGTCACCAGTCCATCGCAGGGCAGACAGACAGACATGCATGCATATACAATCACACACACATTCACACCTAGGGGCAATTCAGCATGTCCAGTAAGCCTGACTACATGTTTTTGGACTGTGGGAGGAAACCGGAGTACCCGGAGGAAACCCACGCAGACACGGGGAGAACATGCAAACTTCACACAGAAATGACCCTAGTCGCCCGGCCGGGAATTGAACCCAGGCCATTCTTGCTGTGAGGCGACAGCGCTACCCACTGTGCCACCGTGCCGTCCCCCAGAGCATAACAAATACAACTAAATGCATTTTGAAAATATATTTAACAAATATATTTTTGGCTATTTTCATAAATTCCAAAAATATATCTAATAATATGTTTGATAAATATAATATATATTTTTCCTTAGTTAGCACTGAATCAAAAACAGACACGATTCTGTGGTGGAAATCACTTTATGGGCTCAAGAACACTTACGAAAACTGCCGTCTCTGAACACAGTTTATCTCTGCATCCACAAATGCTGTACCATGCATAGACTAAACCACATATAAACAGGATCCAGAAACACTGCCACTTTCTCTGGGCCCAAGTTCATAAAAGGTGGACTGAGGCGAAGTGGAGAAGTGTCCTGTGGTCTGACAAATCAAAATTTGAAATCTTTTTGGAAATCTAGGACTCCGCATCCTCTGGGTTAAAGAGAAGAGGGACTATCCAACTTGTTATCACAGTTCAAAAGCCAGCATCCATGACGGTATGTGGGTGCATTAGTGCACATGGCATAGGTGACTTGCACATCTGTGAAGGCACCATTAATGCTGAACGAAATATCCAGATGATGTTCTCAGGGAAGGTCTTGCTTATTTCAGCAAGACAATGCCAAACCACATTCTGCACATATTATAAAAGCATGGCTTCTAGTCAAAGAGTCCAGTTGCTAAACTGGACTGGCTGCAGTCCAGACTTGTCACCCATTGAAAACATTTGGTGCATTATGAAGTGAAAAATACAACAAAGGAGACTCTGAACTGTTGAGCAGTTGTTATCCTATAACAAGCGAGAATGGGAAAACATATTACTTTCAAAACAACAGCAATTGGTCTTTTCAGTTCCCAAACACCTAGAGAGTGATGTTAGAAGAAGAGGTGATGCAACACTAGTAAACATACCACTTTCCGAACTTTTTGAATCGTGTTCCTGGCATCAAATTCAAAATAGCCACATTTTTTTAAAATGATAAAATTTCTCAGTTTTAACAGTTAATATGTTGTCTTTGAACTATTTTTCAAATAAATATAAGGTTTAAATGATGTGCACATCATTGCATTCTGTTTTTGTTTACATTTTGCACAGCATCCCAACTGTTTTGGAAACGGGGTTGTAAATGCTTAAAAGTATGTTACTGTTTATGAACAATTACACATTTTAAAAGCATTAAACATCTGTTCTTTTGTCTTCCTCACAGTGGTCGTAATGGTAAGATGCGGGTGCTTTCCTTCAAGACGGGAATAGTGAGCCTATGCAACACAGATGTCCAAGAGAAATACAGATGTGAGTAAGAGTCAGCCAAGCTTGCAGCACAGCATTCACTTAGACAACAAAGCCTTGTCTCTGTGAATGTATATATCAGCCCCTCTCTCTCACACACATAGACATACTTGTATTGCTATATTTATTGGAGTTTACTGTAGTTTACTGTTTACTACACCTGCACATAACCTACATCCAAAAAAGAATTTTTAAATATGTTAAAAATATGTTCATATGTAAATATATTGCAGTGTGTAAAAATATGTTAAATATGTTCATGGTTTCCCATCAGTTGGACATTATATTCCTGCAAGAAGAGGAAAACATAGCACACTCACATGCACACACACACACCCACACACACATCCACTTAGCCTAATGGAGGCAATACTTCAATAATGCTGAAAGCCTTTTTCTTTGTTTCACTAAAACACAAAGCCTGTGCTTAGCTAGTAGGCAACCGTTGACTTTTTGTGAGGTATTTCCTTTGTCCCTTTTCCATTCATGTTTGTGCTCTTATATTTCTTCTGTAGCTATGTTGGTGTGGACAGGGCGGTTTTTATGGGGTCTAGCCACTTTTACAACTGCAGCCTTATAAGCAGTGATGTGGGATGATGCATGAGAATCATCTGCCATTCAAAGAGGCTGGTAGACAGAATTTGGCCCAGTGGATCCGGCGCAGGCCCACTTACTTTCAGCACAATATCTGCTAGCTCTCGTCAGTTCAAACACCATGTAGACTGGTTCACTTTGTGAGTCGGTAATACGGGTAAAATACAAATTTACAATACTAGAAGATATTTTCACAGTACATGATATATATCACTATGTAGGTTTTCTGAGATTTCGCAGACAAGTTGGAACAGACAAAAAGCAGCACCGAAACAGTAGTGCCATGTTTAAAAAAGGCAGTGGAAAACTTGTAGTATATCAAGATTCTTGTTGTTTACAGGCCCTCTAAAATTGGTGTTTTTTATGCAGCTGTTCACATGCAGTTCAAAATGTACTGATGGTACCCAAGATATACCCCCCAAAACCGGATTATGTTATCATTATCACAATAAAGATAACATATCATATAACATAACTTTGCCTGCCCCTGGTTCCCCTTATTTCCTAAAAATGTGGCTTTTACAGCTTTTCTGAGATGTGTTTTTTCTCTTGATAACTAGCTTGTTCTGCCCTGAGGTCCACTGGCACTGAGGCTGGCAAGTTAAACCAGCACTTGAAGCTTGGCAGAGGCTTTTGTCTTTAGGTTATGGGTCCTTGCAGGGCGTCTGGGTACTTGCGTCACTGTTTCACATAGTGCTTGTATTTTTGTGTATGTCTCTGGGGTTAAGAAGAATCTGCTAAATGTAAATGATGGTTGGATGTCACCATATGGAAATAGCTGTGTAAAGGCTTGGCGTCACCTCTGAAGTCCTCTTCAATGAGGCAGCGAATGTTTTGGGTTGAGCTGCTGGTTAACACAGGTGATTGATCGCACATCTCACTGACACTGCTACAGGCAGTAGTTTGATTAAGACCAGTACGAGCACATCTGCTGTTAGTGCTAGTGTGTGCACATGGGGGACACACTGGAGAGCTGTGGCAGGTGAATGTGAGTGATAATGTGTGTTTTAGATTAGTTTTTTTTTGTGTATATGCCAGTTGATAAGAGCGCTCCCTGCTTCTGGAGTTACACTAGCGCCATGCAGTAGCAAAAAAGATGCAAAATATTCTGCAAAGTGCTCGATACACAGTCAGTCTCCGGGTGCAGAAATCCTTATGGCAAGGATTCAAAACTAGTATTAGAGCCTCCAGGCTCCCTGGAGACTACCCTCTGCGTTGGAGAGAGCTGTACCTGGAAATCAGTGACAGAGAGACAGAAATAGATAGCCATTTTGAAGACGAAGAGGAAAGTTTAGAGTACACCAATGTTTACTGGACGACCCAGAAATATGTGGAGGTGCTTAGTCCATATGCCTACCTGTCAATGAAGTTTTTTTCTGTGGAAAACATACCACCTGGTATCCAGTTACACCAGTGCCCTGGGCAGGTACATGTGCAAACTCCACCACTTAACGCCTGTAAAATCAAAGAAATTGGCTAACCGTCTAGCATTGGATTCCCGCTGAGAATCTTGATAATATAATGTGTGTTTTGACTGTAGAGTTTCCCAGTTTCCCAGTTTAAATATTGTACTTACTGTTTACATTATTTATGTTCGGTACTGCACAGTCCCGTTATTTTTTTTGGGTATGTGTGTGCGTTTTAGACTTATTCAGACAGGTTTGTGGGCCGAATGGTCTGACAGATCAGAAGCACCTCAGCCTGCTGCTGCATGAAGCCATTCAGATCCCCCGCCAGCTGGGTGAGGTAGCAGCCTTTGGGGGAAGCAATGTGGAGCCCAGTGTCCGGAGCTGCTTCCGCATGGTGAGCCTCAAGCAGCCAATTGAAAGTATGAGATTTTATACTCTGCCAGAAGGAAGAGTCTCTCTCTCTCTCTCTCTTTCTCTCTCTCTCTGTCTCTATCTCTCTTCCTCTTTGTTTTTCTTTCTCTTTATTTGTCTCTCCCTTTCATTTCTTTCTTTCTTTCTTTCTTTCTTTAAGTGTTTCTTTTTTAGGGTATTTAGGGTCAATGTTTTGCCCCCATTAATTTCTCTCTGATACTGCAAGCAGCTACCACTTTTTCTGATTTCTCTGAGGGTGGAGAAAATAATACAATGTTAGAATCCAACACTGTGCTTCTCTTTCTGGCCTGATTTGGAACTTTAAATAGTTATCTTGCCTATGTGAACTTATTTATGCACATACTGTAGGAGCACTGATTTTACCCAAAAACCCACCTATATATATATATATATATATATATATATATATATATATATATATATATATATATATATATATATATATATATGGGTTTTTGGGTAAAATCTGTGCTCCTACAGTATGTGCATAAATAACTTGAGCATAAAAACAGTTCAGTGCCCTTAATGTCATGTATCTGTACCAGACACCTCGAGTTCCAGTATTTTAACTTCAAATTGAGTAGATTGGTGTCTGTTTTGCTCTGATGGCTCCCATCACTTCCATTTAGATGCCACTCATATATGCATATATACCTCATATACACTAACACATATACCTGTGCTAACTTGCTAAGTTTCTCAGACATAAAAAAGGATACTAAAGAGAATGAATGTAAAGTTGTTCATTCTAGGTATGCTGGCTGCTTGATAACCATCCTGTTTGAATTGCCACTTGAATTCCCCAATATCACCTTTTTGGCAGTGGTTTGCTGGAATGTCAGATGAAGAAAGAAGGAAAGTTTACTCCATAGCAGTGGCTATATAAATCCAGGAAAAATTTAATACCTGGAATTTGGGGCTACTTGTGCAGGTTACTGTGTAATTTTGAAAGAGCATTTTAACATATTTAGCAAAAATCTTGATAACTAATGTTCTGGCTGTATTCTGTAGCCTCAGTTACCTGTGCACATGAGAGGGAAAAAAATTGGAAAATTATGACAAATAGGAACACAGTACTAGGGAACTATTAAGCAATCAAGGAGCAATACAATAGTCCTGCCGAGTTATAAGATTAAACGTATTCTGTTTTTTGTCAGGTATTACCATAAGATTGAAATACTAGCACAGCTGTTGAAGAACTGCACTACATTAATGGCATATAAGAGCTTCTATAAGCAGCTTGGTTTCTCATTCCATGCTTGGTGAAAGCCTGTAGGGGGTACATTTTGTGCCATAGCTTAGTCTAGAAGCAAACGTTTCAGGAAAAGATGGCAAAATTGTTTTAAAAACCTTTGAAAACTAGAAAAAGATGTACTTTGGAGTTTGTTTTTTACTTTGAGAAATTTTTTGGCCAGGACTTGCAATCATGAGCAAACTTTGGAATTTCTAGAAAAATCCAAAGAATGTAAAATATGAAGGTACAGTGTGACAGGGTCAAATAATTAGACTCATGCTCTTAGAAAATAGACTCACACTTCTCATCATTTTATAATTTAATTTAAATAATAGAATTTATTAGGTGGATTGAACTCATGCAGGCAACTTCTTTTTGTTCTTGAGATATCAAGTTTGAAAACATATCCATGATAAGAATTTGTTTTTGCCAGCAAATTTGTATGCTCAGTGGCTATAAATTATTCAGACTGATGTGAGCAAGAATTACCAATGAGTTCAACATACAGTGACCACTTTAGAAGACTGCAGTCCCATAGAATTGACTATTCTATTCTTAGCACCACATGTCAAATGACTAGAGAGGGTCAAGCTGCAATACCTGCTGCAGTCTCTTTCCATTTGTCTTTACCTCAATAGGACTGTAATTCTGGAACCACCATGATCTAATGGCACTTAGTGTCACAGATGAACTAATTAGTGATTAGATGCAGGGTCCCCAGGTTTTTGGAGAGTGCCCTTAAACTTATAATTCTCGATTGGTCCTTAATTAAATCCTCCCCCATTCAAGAGCATGGCTGTGATACCAGCCACGCATAGTTTAAATCCATTCATTTCCACATTTGTTCTATTTCAGGATTTTATTAGGAGATGAAATAGTACTGTAGTGCCAATCAGTACTTCCCAAATTGGCAATTTATCACCTACAGCATTAATAAAGTTACACTGATAAAATAGCACAGCTGAACTTGGCTTGGGAGTAGCTGAGGGAATTGCAAGTGTGTGTGTGTGTGATAGAAAGGCTGGATTTGAGTGAGATTTGAAGTTCTTGATCATTAAAAGGGGGACCTGACTCTCTAAAGCGTGGTATTCACAACAGTCAGGGCAAAACACAAAGACCCACAAAACACGAGGTTGGCAGTGAATCACCCCAGAGGGAGCTGTGTATTGGCAGACTCAGTGTGGTAGGGTAAAAAAGAAAAAAGACAAAAAAAGAAGGTCGTCAGTCCTTGAGGGAGATGCTGTGCAGTGGATCTGGGGACAGTCTTGTCCCTAGCAGCAAGCAGCATTGTTTTTTCTTATTTTTGGTTTTAATCTTTGTATCTGGGTGAGAGAAATTGAGAGAGAGAGAGAGAGAGACACAGAGAGAGAGGTGAGGGAGTGTCCTCTCTTCAACTCACCTTCCCCTTCCCAGCGCTGGTCCTTTGTACTCACTGTGAAGAGGAGATGAGTGGCTAGGGATGCCTCTGCTGATGTGGGTCTGTGAGTGCAGCCACACTGAGGTTGGCTGTCTATAACCAGGGAGCTAAACTTAGGTGTAAGGAAAGGTTTCAGCACCATGGACAGTAGCCAATGATCCTGGAGCAGTAAAGTGGTCTGCCATCACAGTGTGCTTTATTTATCATCCTCCAGATCCTCACTACAGTCATATATGCAGGCCTGTTATCCTTCACACACACAGACAAACACACACACAAACGTATTTCCAGCGGCAGTGGCAGCTATGGGCCATGCAAGAGACATTCACGTTAATTATGGCTCTTTGCCTGGGCTACAAAGAGGGCCCTGGGGAAATAAACCTTTTAATGCATCTTTGATGCGCATTTAATGAGAATTTACCACATTACGGATTTTTTCGGCACCTCGCGACTCACTCTTTTATTAGGTTTCTTTCCTGTCATCCGCTCCTGCTGTGACCCTGTAATATGCGTCAGGTTTTAGCTCAAATGCATTACATATTATAGGGCCTTATATAATGTTTCTGGTGTTTTTGTAACAATATGTTATTTTAGTTGTGTGCTGTTTAGGCTGCTAAATGTTTTTCTTGATGCTTAGGGTTTGTGGTTCCTTTTTTTATATATGACAGGTAACACCAGCAAATACCTTGTCAGTTAATGATTATATTATTTATAGGTATATAATATTTTCAGGTTCTGAGGTCAAGATTTGCTTTTTTCTAATTCAAATTTTATTTTATGTGATGAAAATGTCTTGATTAGACAGTGGTCTAATTATATACGCCAAATATCAGCCCAAATAAACAAAAGAACTTTTCTGATGCCTGCCATGTGAGCCATCAGAAAAAGAAAAGCTATCAAAAAAACCCCCAGAAATGTTAAGCCTAAGATTTTATGCATTTCAAAAAAAGCAGTCATTTGAGTGCTTGTATAGCATAAGCCCCTCTTCCTACCCACGACTTTACTCTAGGATGCTCCAAGATGCTCAAGTTTCATAATTGTCAGTGATCTCTACAAAAGATTGGAAATAAGAGATCATCAGAAGAGATCAAGGGCTGTATTGGCAATAGTTTTAACTTTGATACACTGTTTTAAATTAGATTTTTCGATACTGTTTGGAAAGTGTTACACCCTTAATGTATGAGTAGAATAATAAATATTGCTCAGATACAGATTATGTTGTATTTTTCATTTTACCATTGTATTTCTCTCCACTGTTAGGCCCCAGGGAAGCCAGCCATTGAGGTGTCACACTTCCTTGAGTGGATGAGTCTGGAGCCACAGTCAGTAGTGTGGCTTCCTGTACTACACCGCGTGACAGTGGCTGAATCTGCCAAACACCAGGCGCGCTGCTACATCTGTAAACAATGCCCTATCAAGGGCTTCAGGTGGGCTTCTTGCCACAGAGCACTTTTCACAGTACATGGTTTTTAACAAAGTTTTCATGTTCAGGCGATTCTTGCAAGGTTTTCCTGTTGGGACTTTTTTTATCTGGAGCACATCTAGCTTCCTATTTCTCTAATCTGCTGTAACAACTGGAGGGCAAGATGTGTGAATCAGAGATAGCAAGATTTTGTTTCATTTTAGTTAGTAATAAAAAACACATACTCTCTGTCCTGCTGATGTTACAGGTACCGGAGTCTGAAACAGTTCAATGTGGACATCTGCCAGACGTGTTTCCTTACCGGCCGAACAACCAAAGGCAAAAAGCTACACTACCCCATCATGGAGTACTACACCCCGGTACATACACATCCTGAGCCTGCACACACACTTTCTGCTTCTGCGCTGAAATACAGTATGAGGCAATTTGCTTAATGATTTTCTCACGGGCATATATCACTGTGGTACTCTAAGTGGGGCTGCCTAGGTCTTTGTCATAAGCTGGCTGCAGTTGCCGCTTGGCTGAAGATGAACTTATATGAGCTTAGAGGCAGACGATTATTTTGTAGATAAAGGGAGAGAGGCCTGGAGAAGAATATTGTATCCAAAGGCTACTGAAGATGAACTACTTATGTTATTTTGTTATTTCCTTTTTTTTTCTTTTGCCCTATTTTTGTCTAATTCACCTCTCTCATTCATCTTCCCCCTTCACTTTTGCCTCTGTTTCTCTCTCTCTTTCTCCTTCACTCACCTCTCCCTTCATTGTTCTTTCCTGTAATTGCCACGTAGACCACCTCAGGGGAGAAGATGAGGGACTTTGCGAAGACTCTGAAGAACAAGTTCCGATCAAAGCAGTACTTTAGCAAACATCCTCAGAGAGGCTACTTACCCGTGCAGACTGTCCTGGAGGCAGAGAGTGGCGAGACGTGAGTGTGTGTCACACAGCTGTCGTAGCATTAAAGAAAAACTATACGTTGCTCATTTGCCACTACAGATGATGAGAAGCATGGTTGCATTTGATTTGAATTGAATAAAATAACAAGTGCTAGGTTGATGAGCAGAGTAAAGAGAGGGAGGTTTATGTGTCATAGTTGTGGTGGTTTCACCACACACACGCCAATACACAATACACACACATACTCAAGCACTAGCATTCACACCCAACGAGCCCCCATACCAATGTATTGATGTGTGCATGTATGTGTCTGTGTACTTGCAGGCCTTGTTCCTCTCCCAGGCTACCACATGCGGACACACACAGCCGGATTGAGCACTTTGCCAGCAGGTAAGAGGCTTGTTACGTGCAGACAGCGCTCAGGTCTGCACTTAGCCCGCCCCCAGCAGCCCCCCTGCATTCCTGCTTCATTCTCTGATTAGAGTATTGATCCACTCTGCATGGACACACTGCTAAAAACAGCAAAAACCATTCATTCTACACAAACACTTCAGACCAACAGCAGCAAGAGAGTGAGAGAGAGAGAGAGAGAGAGAGACAGAGAGAGAGAGAGAGAGAGAGAGAGAGAGACAGAGAGAGAGAGAGAGAGAGAGAGAGAGAGAGAGAGGCGGCAGGGTGGACAGAGGTCAGCTGCTTTCCAGTAGCCAGGGAGTCTCGGGGCACTAGGGAGTCTGCCAACTCAGATCAGCATCTGCTCTGTCATCGCTGTGGAGGTTATGCACACTCATACACACACTCATATGAAACTCTTGTTCACTGTTTATACACAAAGTGATATATTCATTGATTCATCGACAGGATGTAAGGTTTGACAGCGTTCTATGATAAAGGCCTCAGGCCTGCTCCAGGTTGAAAGCAGTAAGATCTTTCATCTCCCACCTTCCTCTTTGTTTCCACCTGTGTCTCTCAGGTACTTACTCACACAGCCACATGGATGCATGCATCTTCATGGGAAGTTTAATTTATCTGTGTGTAGTAATAAGGCTAAAGGCTATAATGCCTAAACTTGAATTTAACCCCAACTTTAAAGCTAGAGTAGGTGGTTTTGTAGAAACCAGGAAGTGTAGTCTTTCAAAAAATCCAACCGAAAAAATTCCACCCCCAACTTTCAGCCCTCCTTCCAAAGCCGCTCCCCCACAACACATAAATGCACAAGGCCTGACTACAATCAGACATTGTCAAACATATGCACATACAGATTACATGCAAGATAAACATAGCTAGCTAGCTTGCACCTACAGCTTAGCTAACATTAGCACTGGACTAATACATAATATAGCTACAGAAGTAGCTAGCTACATTGGCTACATGATTCAGGAAAATAACAAATTTCCCCTTTAAGAAAAAAACAAATCTGTCCCACAAAAAAAACAGCAACCTTGGCATTGCTTTTCAAATATTTCAACTCCCTCAGGTTTCGCCACTGTTGGACAGCCCCACCGATGTTCCCGATGTTCTCTTGCTTTATCCAACATCATTTTGTTTGAAGCTTGTCTGTGTAATATGTATGTCAACAGAAAAAATACAACAGATTTCTAAAACAGAACATCACACACTTAATATCAGTATTTTACAGAATTTATTGTCTTTTTGTCATGAGGACATGCACAATAATAAGGCAGAGAGAGGGTTTCACACAAATATGTTTCAGCTATAAAAACACTCAAAATCTCAAATCTCACGTTTATCATGTGACATAAACAAAGCTGAAACTAGATCGGACCTGTGTGAGGAGTGTATTGAAAACTCTAATTATAGATGATTTTGTGGGTTTGGAAAACACAGATAACTTTCTATTCTGCAGCGAGAGCTGGAGAAGCGTTTTACTACATTGGACCTGGCTAGCTGACTTGAAATTATAAAGTGGTGGCCTCAAAATTCTCCTCCATATGTTATACATATGAAGGCACTCATACATTTAAGAAAGACAAGCGGCTTCTTTATCTCCATGGTCTACTGCCAGGGTTGGGTAGTAATGGAATACATGTAACGTTGTTACGTAATCAGGATACAAAAAAGGTAACTGTATTTTGTTACAGTTACAGAAAAAAAGACAGTAATCAGATTACAGGTACATTATAAAAACAAAGTGATTACCTGCAGCATTACATTCAGATGCAAACTCCTTGTCTTTAATTGAAATTTGTCATTTTAATGATCAGTATATCACATGAGTCATGTAGATTTGAAGAGTTTTTAACTTGGGGGGTAGGTGGAGGGAACTGCTGCCAGGAGAGGATTCTAAGGACTTCCCTGTCCTGCAGCAGTCCATGGTGTTTCATTTAGCCAATCTATACGTTTGTTTTATTTTTATTGGCAAAACTGAAATTGGCAGTGTTTTCCTGAAGATATTTGAATCAGGCGTTTAACCTGGATTTTCACATCACCTGATTCTACAGCAGCAGCCTGACCTGATCTGGCAGTAAATTCTTTATTCTCATTTGTTGCTCCATAAAATTCTACAGTTTGAAACCCTTAACCTCACAGGTTTTAACTAACAGTCTGTAACATGAAAGGAGAGAAAATTAAGTCTTGTGAGCAGCAAAGTTAGTTTCATTATCATTTGTATGATGTCTTCCTTCAGTAGTTTTTGAATGATGTATGCAAAATGTTAATTTGTTATAATTATCATTATTTGTAACTAAGACGATCAGCGAAACTTATTTTAAAGCCTATTTAAACCTGTAGGATTTCTGTGGACTAAAGTTGCTGAGAGCTGATGAGTAAGCATCTAAAAATTATGATCATCAAAGTCTGAGCATGACACACCAACATGAAACCTTATGAGCCAGTACACCCTTTCAGCAGATAGAACATGCATGATGGCCAGTCAGAGTTTTTCGAATAGTCTCTATTTGTGGTTGTTGTTGATGATAAGTCTCAAAGTAAGATTACTACCAGATCTTTTGACTCTTGATTTTTTAACAAATAAGGCAAATAAGGAAAAGTCCCAGGAGAGCAGTATAGTAGTATAGTTTTCAGCTGTTTTGCATTTGATCCAATGTGGATCACACTGGATCATTCTACATCAATTAATTGTTCTGCTGTGTTTTAGTCTCAGAGCCTTTAATCTCAGTGTACCTTTTTTTTTTTTAATTTTCCTGTTAAAATTACTCATTTTTTTTTCTTGGGGAGCAAAGCTTGATTTCTGAACTTCAAGGTTTGCAAATACATGTCTAAATTCAAACAAATTATACTGTTGTTCAAATTTGTAAATGTATTTATATTTTAAATATTTTCATTTTTCAGGTTTGGCCTTTTCGCTCAAAGTGAGATCAGTGACTTTCTGTGAGGCACAATATTTAAGTCACCCATAATCAGTCATTCTGCTTTGTAAAACTGCAGTTTTTGTGTTTGACATCCGTTAAGTTAAATTTTAGTGAAAAAGTCTTGTTGAAATTATTATTCTCTTTTATTTATTTAATTAAAGACAAGTAATCCAAAATTAATGGAAAGTATTCCGGTTACGTTACTTTAATATAGTAATCCTTTGGATTAAGTTATAATTACATTTACAACAGGTAATCAGTAATCTGTAACAGAACACATTTTTAAAGTAACCACTACACATGCTGAGTCCATACTTGTTCCTTTGCCTTTTCCCTCTCCTAGCTGTCTCATTGGCTAGAACCTAAATCATATCAAATCTGATCATATTACATTATAAGACTTGTGAACATATATTGGAAAATATCAGAATTATATCACTTGGGAGAAAGATCGTAGGGCTGAAAATTGGTTTGTTCTCACACTACTAGATTATCTAGGCCGTCAGTCACTTCCACTCAAACTTCAGACCTGAACATTTGCTGCTGGTTGTCAGAATGTGCCGTAAGGGCCAAATCGGTATTAAAATCAGGCTAAAAATTGTGTAGTGTACACCTGGGATGCAACAGTACAGTGGGCTCATGGTTTGGTATGTATCACATTTTTTGGGTCATGGTAATGGCATGGTCATTATATTTAACAGTATGAATATTCAAGTTCATTTTAACACAAATGTATAAAAACAATGAAATAAAGCATTCAGCATTGCTTATTACGCTTGGCATATGTTTATTACTGACACTGTGTTCTTGTTACAGTGAAAGTCTTTCTCTTCTTTTGGGACTAAGAAAATTAAAAAATTAAAAAATGTTCACGTTTTCCTTGTAAGACCATCATTATGGGAAATTTTGGTAATAATAGTATGGTAATACATAGTAACATATTACAAATTAGCAGTTCACTGGACAGTTTTCTGAATTTTGTTAGAGAAAGTCACTACTGTGGGTGTGTCAGTGTCATGGCTATGTTAGATTTAGCTTGCTAAACTAGTATTTACTAGCCAGTTGTATCTCATATTTTTACATAAAATGTTATGGCTGTATTGATTAAGAAAAAACATAATGTTTTCACCCTCTGTGCCTGTCTGAAGTTTTTTCTTTTTTCTTTTTTTCTCCATTTAATGTTTTTATGATAATTCTGAAGATCCTTTTTGACGTAGTTTTAGTTCAACATATCAAAAATAGGCACCAATGTTCAGTACTCTCTTCTGAGATATTTAGCAGTGCATTTTGGGTACCAATTTTTAGTACTCGGCTCTTATCCTACGCGCTCACACATACACACGCAGAGATCAGCCCCTTTGACTGGCTCACCATACCACACTACCAACCGTCTCAGCAAACACTGAGATTCAGTTTTCATCTGAAATGTTTTCCCTCTTTCCTTCCTTCTCCCTGTCTCTTTCTTAGTCTCCATCTGTCTGTGTCTCTCCCTGCTGTCGCACGCTTGATTCCTCCCCTGCATCTCAATTTTTCACTTCATTTCTCCTTTTCTCTCCCTATATCTATCACCCTCTTTATCCCTCTTCCCCTCATTCTCACCCTCCCGCTATCATTCTCATGCCATATCTCACTTTTTTGTCCTGGTCGTTTGAGTTGCCTTTGCTCAGAAATTGTCTTTGTTTTCTCTTTCTGCCTCATAATTAAAATATTTCATTGCCGTGTGACTGTGAAAGCACTATTCATGTGTGCCAGCAGGCCTGGCACAATTAAACCTAACATGTCGAAGTGTAAAAAATGCTAAAGGTTATTTTGTGTAGAGGCTGCTTTATGATGGCCGTTACCGCGGCGATTGCAGCTTGCTGGACGAAAAGAGGGAAGGGCGCAGCGTGATGTGACTCAGACGTTGACGTCTAGAGAACCTTCTTAAAGTCCCTGTGTGCTCCTGCTAGATTAACGGTGTGTGTGAGTGTGTGTTTGCACTGCCTTTTCAAACCTCATTCAAGTTTCTATATGTCTACGAATGCAGATCCTTCTGAAGGGGGGGATATTTGTTTTTTTTTCTTTTGCATACTTTAACCAAATCTCAGAATGATCTGAGTGCTGGCTAAATGGGAAGAGACAAGCCCTTTATGGCCCGGGGAAGAATAGCATAGCTGAAGGATCCGTCTCCATTCTGCAGCTGAATGTAAAATGCCTTTTAATTCAGTTTTATCTCACGGCTCCCTGTCCCATATAAAGCGGGGTGGAGAAAGCACACTAAATGAGGTATCATTTATTTATCCCCTTTGAGCTCTAATGGAAAATTAAATTGACATCAAAAGTTGAGTGTCAAGACCGCATTGCAGATTTTTGAACATCTGTAGGAGAGATATATCATTCCAATGAGGAAGCACAGAAGGATATTTTTTAATACTGTTATGGGCAAATGGCTGGGTGTACGTGTTAATGGGGTGTAATGGAGGAAGCCCAGTGGGGGAGGGTTAGCGGGTGGTGTTTGGAGCCAACTCTAAAGGGTAAGATTCGCTTGAGCGTCACAAAGTGTGAAGTGCCTGTGTAGAGGGAAGCCTTTTCATCATCAAAACAGCACATCAGTGAAAAAAGAGGAAGAGAAAGACTTTGGACGCATAAGATGTGCAGTCACATTCACAGGTCTCTCAGTGAGGAAGCATTTGGAGAGACAAAATTCTCAGAAAGTTGGATCATTTTGTACGTCCCATAAATGCTGATGTGCTCCACCCTCCATTTAGACTGGCAGTTCTCAAACTAAAGGCCTCAGGAAGGCATCGGGGGGCTGCAGAAATATCTGAGAAGCTGTATCCCTGATTAGTAAGGTCTAATTTTGTTAGTTTATTAATTCTGCTTTGACCATATCTATAATATACACTGATCAGGCATAACATTTTGACCACCTCCTTGTTTCTATGGTCATTGTCCATTTTATCAGCTCCACTTATTATATAGGTGCACTTTGTAGTTCTACAATTACAGACTGTAGTCCATCTGTTTCTCTGCATACTTGTTAGCCCCCTTTTACCCTGTTCTTCAGTGGTCAGGACCCCATGGACCCTCACAGAGCAAGTACTATTTAGGTGATGGATCATTCTCAGCACTGCAGTAACACTGACGTGGTGGTGGTGTGTTAGTGTGAGTTGTCCTGGTACGAGTGGATCAGACACAGCAGTGCTGCTGGAGTTTTTAAAAACTGTGTAAACACTCCTACCTTGTCAGTCCACCTTGTAGATGTAAAGTCAGAGACGATAGCTCATCTGCTGCTGCACAGTTTGTGTTGGTCATCCTCTAGTCCTTCATCAGTGGTCACAGGACACTGCCCACAGGACGCTGTTGACTGGATATTTTTGGCTGGTGGACTATTCTCAGTCCAGCAGTGACACTGAGGTATTTAAAAACTCCAGCAGCACTGCTGTGTCTGATCCACTCAGACCAGCGCAACACACACTAACAAAGAGGTGGTCATAATGTTATGCCTGATCGGTATATATACACACATAAAAGTATAATATAAAAGTCGTCCTGGTAGATAGATTGGTAGATGTTGTTGAATGCATCACAATTCACAGCCATACCTCTTCATGTGCAGGTCAGTGACAGCTGCGAAAAACCTTGCAAAATAAACAAAGTTCTGGTACGACATGGTCCTCGTTTGTTAAGTGAAATTAATGCCTTGGGGCAGGAAGGAAGGGGTGCTCACTTCAACACCTATAATGTCTACCTCACACACAAGACCATACATCAGCTGTTTATTCATGCATTTGTTTACCCATGTAGTGTTCCTGATCTCTTATCTTTTGCCTCCAGGGATACATGTCCCTGAACCCAGTTCCCAGTTATCCTTGACTCAACCATCCCCTCAGTCGCATAGCCATGGGGTGTGATTTGATCCAGCCGATAGATGCCATGGCTGATAAAATTAGGAGCTACCACTGCTGCAATACAGGTTGACCAAGACAGCGAGCACTGCAGTCAGTGGCTGCCTGAGAAGTGGAGCTTGGATGATGTAATACTGACTGTTAGTGACAGGCTCTCTATCACTTCCATTCCTCTATGTAACCACTCTGCACTGCACAGAAGGGTGTAACGTAGTGGTGCATAATATTTTATTAGTCAATAAGTGGGGAAATTGAAGTATTATTATTCATGGTCCGATATTACATTTGTGACGGATAATTACACCCAATAGCTTCATTTTTGCACTGACACAAGAGTCACTTTCGTGTGAAAATCTCAGTGGTGTGGAAGTTCTTCATGGTTTCACCAGAGTACAGCAGAAGTACCTGAGGTACAGTGAGGTGGAAAAGCATTAAGACTTTCATTACAAATAATCTGGTTATTTGAAAATTTTGTGATCTTTATAGCCTAAAAAAATAGCTAGTATTAGCAACAAGCAACATCAGAGTTTTAACTTATCTTAGGCTCACAGCACTATATATATATATATATATGTATATATATATATATCAGCAACAACAAGGTGTTAATTTTTAGTTGTTGTTATTGTTATCTCCCAGAAATTCTATATTAGTGCATCTCAAGTTTAGAGCATTCTTTCAGCTCTCTCCACAATTGTAGGCTCACACAAAGCACTTAGCACTTTTCATTACTGTCTCTGCAGGGGCCAGCACTGCCACTAATTCACAGTCTATCCTGGTGGGACTATGAAGTCTCCCCTGTCTCCCACCTAAGGGTGACTTCAGGCAGGCAAAGTGCAGAATGTTGCTAAAAGCAAAGTTCCTCAGGCACTCCGCTAATGGTAGGAGAGCCGGGCCCTTCGTGTGCTCTCCATGGTTAACCCTTCGGTGCTGCATATGGCGTCAGGAGTGCATTAGAGTATTTGCTCTCATTGGAGACATGAAACTCATTCTGTTAATTTCTTAAAGTCACACTGCATGAATAACATCTGTGATCAGAGTAGTGCAAGTGACACTTTATCACAGGGGGCGCCTAGCACTGTGCCGGGAGAACTACCACCCTAACATCCTAGGTTTCATCTATGATCTTACCTACACTATTGGCAAAACAGGTTCTGCATAGTACCAGAAAATGTTATATGATTTGTAACAAAAGCAGAATCCTTTTTGATGCTTTAAAGAACAATATATCTGACAGGTTGTCCATCATGGAGATTATGCACAATAGTAATAGTAGGCCTAATAATAATAATGATGAAAATAATTGATGCAATAGAAAATATAACTGTCCGTCATAACCTTGTTGGAGGCAGTTGTAGCATAATTAGAATGGCAAACGTTGTTAAATGGTTCTTTGCAGTTCTTTTTATATGTACTATTCTAATTATGCTACAGTTGCCTTGTGTGTGTGTAACCACTGCCTTTACCTTTGAATAATTGTACCTAATCCAGCTAATCAGAACTGAATTTTTGAACCGTTTGTGTTAGATTATGCATGTGATTTAACTCTGCAGAGTGCTTGGATGGGCACACTTTGTCTATGAAGGTGCCAGGAGCAGATTATAATGTAAAGCCTCTTCACAGTAAGGTCTATGTCTTTTTGTAGTGTAACACCCCCATGTTCACTATTGTGTGACTGACCTATATACAGCAATGTGTCTATGCTACCATAATTCCCACCTCTCTCCTGTTGTGTCTCTTTCTGTCTCTTTCTTTCTCTTTTTCGCTTTCTCTCTCTCTGTCAGGCTGGCAGAAATGGAGAGCCAGAGCTGCTCCTTCTTCACTGACAGTCTCTCTCCTGATGAAAGTCTGTGAGTATGCAGCCTGCCACCCCCACACACTGAAATCTTTCATTACTGCCGTGGCCCTGTGTGTGTGTGTGTTTGTGTGCGTGTGTGTGTATTTGTGCATGAGCAGTCTGCTGTGTGTGTATACTTTTGTGTGTGTCTGCCTTGTGTTTATGATTTGGGGGCGGCTGGGCAGTGACAAAAAAAACTGAAAGATAATGAAAATGACCCATGGCAATGCGCGTACTCTCTCTCTATCATATAAAAGTCTTTGTGATTAAGGAGTGCGGTTGCAGGAATAAATAGAACAGGCTGCGCCGATGACTCTCAGAGAGGATGGGGTGGGAGGGGGGCCATTGAAATGCCATGAAACACGATGTGTAGAGCTGAAGGCCGGCCAAGAGGGTGAGGTGGCTGCCTCGTGAACATACGTAAGTGAAATAAGGCTGAGCCCTCACAAAAACACACCCATAAAAGAGGTCAGTCCGTCAGTGGCTACATCCAGAGCAGAGTACTGGCTTTGTGTGGCATGAGAGTGAGAGAGAGAGGCAATCGAGCACAGCTTTGGGGAATTAACACAACCTTTGGGTTGCTGTTCCTCCACTCCCTCATTATCTTAGTAATCTTCTTGATGTTAGTACCTTACAAAATGTATTGGGACACGTGTATTTCAGTGCAAAACTGCTTTTACTGCAAAATTTTATACCTTTTGGGTCCACATTTGGCCTGAATAACCGTATTAATAAATTGTGGAATGCGTACCACCAATTTACCAATTTCTGATAAAGTGAAAGCGGGACAGCCACCCACTCCTCTTTTATAAATGCAGCAGTGGTAATTTTAGGTCACATTGTACTGAGTAAGCATTTTTGGCCAACCTGCGCTTTCTCCAGAGCAGGATTCCATTTCTTCCAGGCACAGCATGCAGTTGATTTTGTAATTGTCAGTTACGCTGCAATGACACATACTGACATTTGGCCTAAATGGCACCCTATGCGCATCCCTCTGTGACTCCGGCTGTTAACTCATGGTATTTTCCACTGTCTCAATGTGGTATGCTTCCTAGTTAACATAATCATTCTATCTGGAAATTCAAAGGGTGTCCCATTACGTTTATTATTATTATTTTTGTTATTATCATTATAGTTATAATTATTATTATTATTATTATTATTATTATTATTATTACCACATTACCATGGTGTAGTGTACGTGGTTGAGTGATCTTTCTGATGAACTTACGGTAATGTGCAAAAGTCAGAGACCACCTTTTCATTTATTTAATTTCAAGTCAAAACAGCATAAGATATTTATTTTTTCATTTCAGAGAAAAAAAACTAAACATATTTTTTTAGAAAATAACACAGAACCCTCAACAACTAAAAATAATATCAGTATAATATTTAAGTATAATATATTTATTGGGTCCACCCATTTATTACAGCCTCCATTCTTTTTGGGGAACTTGAGTTCTGTTTTTCAAAGAAATCTGCAGGGATATTTTTCCATGCCTCCATGCAAGTTCAGTCTTATGAGTTGGTTGCATTTTCTGCTTCTTGTGATTCAGGTAATCCCAATTACAAATTTATCAGTCCTTAAACTTTACTCTTCATTTCAAATTGAGAAATCCAGTATTGGTATTCTAGAGGAAATTTTCTTCCTTTTTTGTCCAAACATTGTTTTGTCTTTTTTTGTTAAACATCCTTTCAGACTCAAAATGTTGAGTCATCTCACAAAGGAAGAATGTACAGAGACACCTATGGATTTTTTCAGATCTGAAGCAAGACTGGAGCTAGAGTTTCACCTATCTCTCAAAAATAAAAGCTTGAAGTACTTTTTACACTGCTTGTCCAATTTTTCACTTCTTTGACTTTCTCCTACCTTATACAAATGGATTATTCTATATTTAATCTCATCCTTAATATAAACTGAAAAGGGAATTACTTGTGTTTAATGGCTATTTTGATCGGAAATTAAATAAATGGAAGATGGTCTCTGACTTTACACAGTACTGTACATCAACCCCTATAACTCATGTTTATATTTTGTCTATCATTAAATTTTAAGTGGTAATACTATACTTTGACTTTAAATCCAAGTATAGTCTTGCCTGCTTTGTTTGTTAATGTGATGCTGTGCTGACCTTGTCTCTTACTAGCATAGTTGGCTTCTGTGTGTCTGTGTGTGTGCTCCTGCTCTGTTTACACAAGCATGTACTTACAGCTCTGTTTATGCGCTGTATATGGATGTGGTCATATTTATGCCTCAGCATGTGTCATTGCTTATGGGAACCTGTGGATGTCTGTGTAAGCACTGCTTCCTTAAGCACAGGAATATTTTATCTATACTGCACAGGCACTTTTGCTTGGTGTAAATACCCTCAGCTGCGCATGTGTTCCATTCAGAGCCTCCATGTGTAGCCTCTAGAAGCCTGTTTGCAGGCCTTGGACCTGGTCCAGATGCTACCAGTAGCTTTTGGTCTGGCTTAAAGTTCTCGTATCAAACTGCATCAAAGGTGCAGGTGAACCCAGTGCTGCAGCATATAGAACATCAGGGAAAGGTGGAGAGGCAAAAGAATCACTGTAGCTTTGCAGTTGTAACTGTAATTTCTCTCATGTTGTAGCATTCGAACTGGATCAAAGGATGTGCATGCGAGGCTTATATGTGCTTTCACGGCATGTTCATTGTGGACTAAGGTGTACACGTGTGCTTCCGAGTATTTGTGCGAGAGTTTGTGTGCTTGTGTATGAATAAGTGTAAGGGTGTCTGTGTGTGCTCCATCTCGTCATGTGTGCTTATCTGCTGTGCACACAAAGTGTGTGTGTATTTCCAAGTGACTGTGGCTATGATAGTGCACTGCCTGCTAGCAGCTCTGTGTGCATCAACGTTTACATGTGCCTAGGGAATGTGTATATGGGTCATTGACAAATAAGGGATTTGAAAATGATCATTTTAAAAATTCAAAATTGAAATTTGTATTAAAAATAAAAACATTATAAAAAGGATATTATGTGCATTTTTGTATGTTTAAATTTGTTTCATAGCTTGTATCATGGTATAAATGTATTTTTAAACAGGATAATCAATTTGACCACTCAGAAAATGTCAGGTGGTGCAACCACATGCTAATTGAATATATTCAATTTTAAAGTCGTTTACCACTACTGAAAATGTGTATAAACTAGTCTTTGTACTTGGACACCTGAGTAAATTCTTTGTCCTTGAACTTAAGGTTATACTTTTATACTGTTACACTTTTTGTATATATTTTTTCAAATAAATATATATTATTATACAAGCCCATTTCCAAAACAGTTGGGATGCTGTGCAAAGTGTAAATAAAAACAAAATGCAATGATGTGCAAATCATTTAAACCATTTCTTTGAAAATAGTACAAAGACAACATATCAAATATTGAAACTGAGAAATTCTATTGTTTTTTGAAAAATATATGCCCATTTTGAATTTGATGCCAACAACACGTTCCGAAAACACCTGGTGGTTGACTGACAACAGGTCAGTAACATGATTGGGTATGAAAAAGCATCTCAGGGAGTCTTTCAGAAGTAAAGATGAGGAGGGGTTCACCACTCTGTGAAAGACTGCATGATCAAATAGTGCAACAATTCAAGAATAACATTTCTCAACGTAAAATAGCAAAGAACTTTTGCTTTTCATCATCTGCGATACATAATAACATTAAAAAATTCTGAGAATCTGGAGAAATCTCTGTATGTAAGGAACATGGCCAAAAATCATTATTTGCTAGCCATAATCTTTGGGCCCTTAGGCGGCACTGCATTAAAAACAGACATGATTCTGTAGTGGAAACACTTCTGAAAACCACTGTCTGTGAAAACATTTCATCGCTACATCCTCAAATGCAAGTTAAGACTCTAAAACGCAAAGAAGAAACCATACATAAACAGGATCCAGGAATGCTGCCACCTTCTCTGGGCCTGAGCTCATTTAAAACTGACTGAGGGGGAGTGGAAAAGGCCTTGATTATTTCAGCAAGACAATGCCAAACCACATTCTGCATGTATAACAACAGCATTGCTCCATATTAATAGAGTCCGGGTGCTAAACTGACAGTCCAGACCTGTCACCACTGATAACATTTGCCGCATTATGAAAGGAAAAACATGACAAAGGAGACCCCGAACTGTTGAGCAGCTGAAATCCTATATCAAACAAGAATGGGAAAACATTTTACTTTCAAAACTACAGCGGTCAGTCTCCTCAGTTCCCAAATGCTTACAGAGTGTTGTTAAAAGAAGAGGCGATGAAACACAGTGGTAAACATGCCCCCGTCCCCTGTCCCCGTTTTTTGGAACGTGTTGTTGGCATCAAATTCAAAATGGGCATATGTTTATATATATATATATATATAATTTCTCACTTTCAACATTTGATACTTTGTACTATTGATACTTTTCAATTACATATAGGGTTTAAATGATTTGCACATCATTGCATTTTGTTTTTATTTACATTTTGCACAGCGTCACAACTTTTTTGGAAATGGGGTTGTAATAATAACACATTTTCATGGTTTTCCTGAAGTCATACCACCTAACTTGGTAAACTGAATCTGCCTACACAAGACTTCAAAATGACATTTTTTTTCAATATTTGTGAAAGGCTAATAAAGGCTACTTTGTTGCTAGTTGTACCATATGACGAGAAGAATTTACGGATGGATGTTTCACAAAAAGTTGTATTCTTTTAAAGTTTATTTTGCAATATGTTATGATTTTAAAAGTTTCATACAAAATAATTTGAAATCATGCCAAATTATTTAATTTAGAGTTTTATATTACTATTTTTTTTAATAGTTTGCCTAATTTGCGTTTGTGGTTGGATGATCATACCACCTGACATTTTTAGATTTTCATAGACATAAATGCTTATTTGTTTGTGCACTAAAAATGCATTTACTGAAAGGACATATTATGGAATAATGTGACGTCATATATTTATAACATTTTTTTATAGGGAAAAAAATGTCACTGACCCATGCGTCTGAATGTACATATATGCCTGTTAAAGCTTTAATCAGGCCTGAGATATTCAACTAAAAGTGAATATAGCCCAAGAACATTCTGCTTGAGTCTGACTGGACCCGAACTTTCCACAGGATCCCTTTGTGTTTCAGTGAGCTATGAGTGAGAAATAATTTACATCGAATTTCCCCCATGCTTTTACTTTCATGGGTGATAATCCATGAACCAGACCCAATCCCAAGTATTTGTAAAGTTTGAACTGAACCAAACAAAACTGCATCCTAAATACTCGGGTCCCATCAGGTTGGACAAATATTTTAAGCTCTAATGCCCTTGTGGCTGTGGTGTAGTTGGCTAGCACATGCTTTTTTCTGGCTGAGCTGGACGCCCTTCAGTGTGGGTGTGTGTGTATGCGCTGTGGCTGTGGCTCTGGCGGCTCAGTGTGCATTGTCTCCTGTGCGGGGGGACTCAGGGATGAAGATCAGTACCTCCTACGTCACTCCAGCCCCGCCTTGGAGCAGGATTCTCCGCCAGGCCCACACCTCCTAGCCCACCTCGACTGCCACAACAAAGAGGAGCTGCAGCGCACGCTGGTCCGGCTGGAAAATGAGAACAGGTGAGGGTCCACACACACAAACACACTTTCACTGTTTCAGTGTCACACAGCTCTGCCTTTTGTTCATTGAACAATGCAAGGCTGAATGCACTGACTGGACTGCACTCAATCACAGTATAATGCCAATCTGGCCTCCCGGCAAAAGGACCGCACACTCTGCAAAAGCGTGGCGTAGTGATTTATTTATTTTGTGTACTCAGCTTTCTTTGTTTTGTAGAGACAAATAGTTTCCATTCCTGTGTGACTGGTGAGCTTGGTTAACTAGAGGTTATGCAGAAGTGTTGTTCGAGTTAATGAGGACAGTGTTTTTATTTCTTTTTTTAACTGTGTGTCTGATTGGCTGGGGTCTAACCAGCCTACCTAACATATATAAAATAGAAGCTGTACAGAGCACCATCTGGCTTCAGTGACGACTTTTTGTATTTTTGTATTCATGTATTCATGCTTGACTGTGGACATTGCAGAGACGACTAATATTTCTTGAGTACGCTATTTGAAGTGCCCTCTAGACCCCTTTTTTGTCAGAAAGCCTAATTTTCAGCGATACATCCTAGAAAGGAAATCTGAAACATGAACAGTAGCGAAATGAAACCTTTCCATAACCACTTAATTCTGCACCAGAGGCCATGGCCATGTATATGACTCATTTACATTTCCTTCCTTCTTTTTTCTTTATAAAGCGTGATCTTTAAGCCCTGTGTCGGCTCCGGGCCTGCATTGCTGCATGCAAATAATTGATCAATAAAGCCGGATTAATTACGAATGTCTCCAGGGCATCTGCAACCTTAACCTACTTCATAAATCTACATTTCCTGCTGCCATTGGTGCCACTGCCTGCGAAGGCCTTTGTCATTACTGCCTGTAATAAAACACTATTACTTTCATCATAAGAATACTGAAGCATTGCTACAGCTACTAATATGCTGACAGTTCTGTGTATGGAAGAGGTCAGAACGTTTTTCCCTCTAACATATTTTAATGCAGTGCTTTTTTTATAGGGCCATTAGGATTGCGAATAGCTGGAGTAATATGTCAATATGTCAAGAGAATTTAAGCTACATTTCTCATTTTTTTTCTTTTCCTTTTTTACTGTTGTTTTTCAGTTGGTAATAAGTCACTCTAAAGCACATCAATACTTATAAATAGAGGCAGGCATTTTGGGATATAGTGCTATTTATGTTGTTTAGAGAGAAAGGAGCTGACGTCACTTGCTGTGGGATTAGTTCATGTACTGTTGTTGCTTTTAAAATTGGCACATAGACAAATTACATCCTTTTTCATCCTACCAAAGAAACAACCAATGTGGAGGCAGTAACAAAATGTAAAAGAGTATGTAATGCTGTGCTTAGGATCCCAGGGCTATGTGTGTGATCTGATTTTATCTCTCTGCCTTTCCCAGTACTGCGCTTTTGTGCAAGTTGTTTGTACGTTTTGTATATACATACATATTGGGACAGTGAAGTCCAATTTGCTTTTTTTTCATGACTAAGCTGCTTGAATTTAGGAAGAACTTATATATCAAACAAAAATTCTGGTGTTAATATCCCTCAATTAGGCACTTCCAGGTGTTTTTATTTTTTTTAATAGTCACTTCGGCCCTGTTCTGGTGATTACACTGTGAGCTGTGAATATGTAGTCTGGGTTTAGCGATCTGCTTTTGGAGTCAGGAGGACTAAATCATCATGCTGACTTAAGAAATGTCTATGAAAGAAAAGCAAACAATTTGGATGCTGAACAAAAAGAATTATTCATCCAGCACCACAGCATGGAAACCCAGCCTAGCAAAATCCAACAATTCGGAATGTTTTGTAAAAGAAAGAAGAAAGAAACCACTGGTGTACTTACAAAAACTCAGATATCTTCCCTGCTGATTTACAAGAAATTGCCTCTAAATTCACTGGCTGATGCTTCATTATGCAGCAAGACAATGTCTCAAAACACACTGCCAACACAACCACAAGTTCAACTCGGTCTTTGGATTGAAACTCAATCAAGTATGCATTCCACTTGCTGAAAATGAAGCTGAAGTCAAAAACAAACAAATAAAATTAGCTATTGTAAAGCTTTGGCAAAGAACATTAAAGATCAAACCTAGAATTTGGTGAAGTTAGTTTATAGGCCTGATGCAGTTTTTCCTTGCAAAGGATTGCAATAGTATGATGTAAGTAATGTAAAAAGTCCCAGTTTCCCACCTATTTCAAACACATAAAAGGTCCAGTATTTTATTGCATCAAGTCCTTTTTATCAAAAATCCAAACTAAATATGAAAATGAACCAGCATTAAGTGTTTTGACTTCACTGTTCCAATATTATGGTCGGGGCACCAAACTGATCAGATGCAGATGATGGGGGATGGTGATAATTAGGGTGCTGCTGGTGACATTGATGAGTAATTTGTCGTGGCTGGCAGGATGCTGCAGGGTGAGTACCGGCGGCTAAAGTGGAAACACGAGGAAGCGGCAGCGGCTCCGCAGCTGGTGGAGGGTGGCGCGGGCTCGCCGGCAGGTCAACAGGACGAGGAGCTCCTGGCTGAGGCTCGAGTCCTCCGGCAGCACAAGAGCCGCCTGGAGACGCGCATGCAGATCTTGGAGGATCACAACAAGCAACTGGAATCGCAGCTCCGCAGGCTCCGAGAGCTACTGCTGCAGGTCAGGATGTAAAAAGACACACATAGACACACAAACACACATTTACAAGAGACTCTAAAGATTCTGCTTACACCAGTGTCGTTTTTATGGATAAATGCAGGATTAAAACAAAAAGGACATAAAAAGAGTGAATAGGTAGTATATGAAAATGTTAGTGAGGGATAAGAAAGGACAGTGATGGTAAACCAGTGGTAGACATTATGCGAAGGTATATGGGAATGAGGGAATTTACAGAGTGCTAAAAAAATCCTGTTAGAGACACAGAGAGGAGCTTAGGGAACAAACAGAGCCCAAAAAGAGAGGTCTAAAGAAAAAGAGGAGAAAGGAGAGAGAGAGAGAGGGAGAGAGAGAGAGAGGGAGTTTTGGGGCTGGAGGCGAAGAGTAGGAGGATGAGGGGACGGAGGGGAGGGGGAGACAGCATTAGAGGCTGCCTTGATGTTTTTCACACAGGGAAGTAGAATGGGGACACAGAGGGAGAGTGGAGAGAAAGATGTAATGTTTCAGGTAAAGTGAGGGAAGATATGGGGAGAGTGGAGGGAAAGAGACAAAGAAATAGCATCAGTGATGGTTGAAAGAGAGTGGCTAAAAAAGGCAGGCTTACTAGTCAAGGTGATTTCCAAAGGCATAGATGGTGAAGTGAGTAAGAGAGAATATTTGTTGAAATCAGCATTGTAAAGACTGTGGAGGGATTGAAGGTAAGTCATTTCACAAGCTGAGAAAGAGAGCAGATGGAAAGAGCAGCTGAGGATAAACTGAGGATTCTGTTGTCCCAGGGGAAAGAAATAGAAGAGGAACAGAGCAGCTAAAGTCAGAGGAAAGAAACTATAGTGTGGCTGGAGGAAGAGGTGAGGGATGGGCACGCAGTCCAGACAATGAGAGTGAGTGAGAGAGGCAGAGACAGAGAGAGAAAGTACCGATGCTTCAGGTCAAAGCGGGATGATTGACGGGTCGTGTAAATTGAGACAGAGTGGGAGGAGGGAAACAAGCTGTAGCTGTGGGTGAAAGGGGATTAGAGTGGGGATAGACAGGAAGAGGGAGAGGAACTCAGAAGAAAGCTAATTGACGTTGGGGGTAATGTAAATCAAGGATGGTGAAATGCACTGGGATCCTGGGAAATTCAAGCCTTTAGGGTTGTATGGAATTACAGGCTTACCTCTGTGGACACCTTGGCAGGTTGATGGAAAAGTTTGAGATGTACTTCTCTCTCAGAATATGTCTCTGTGCTCAAGCAAGCAGTCTAGCTTCAAGTTGCTTTTTCTCTCCATGTGTGATGTGGCAGAAAGAGGGTACTTTTTTCTCTGTGTCTGTCGCACTGTTTCATCTCTGAAGAAAATGCATTGCCTTTGTAAGATATGGAACTGGGGCCAAATCCCTGGTTAATATATGGCAAAGTTCTAAGTTTCAGTAGAATTGAAAAACTTAGGCAATGGTTTCGTTAATTTTTCATCACAGAAAGCAACAACAACAACAACAGTCAGTACCTCTCCAGAGCACTGTTAAATTCGAAATTTATTCACATGACTGTTGCCAAAGTTTTAAAATAATAAAATGACAGCAATTTAAAAAGGAAATAATCGCAGTTAAAGGTAGTTCTATTTTGAGTATAACTTACTAATGTAAGCCTATTAGTACAGATCCAAAGCCTTCATAACCTAGATGTTACTATTTAATTGTAATTCTGGACTCATCCAAGTCTCTTCTACCTCTTTTCCTTTTTTCATTGCTTCCAGCCCAAAGATGACTCAGAGGCCAATGGGTCAGCGCCATCTTCTTTGTCTTCACCTGTGTCTGCAGCTCACCAGGGGGAGCCACCGAGCAGAGAGACCACAGACACAGAGGCTGCAGGTTAGCCTGGGCCGGCTTTATCCCCATCAAGGGATACGTAAATATACAGGTTACACACATAGGAGTGAGAATATGATGTTAGCTGCTGTTTAAAGGTAACTGCCTTGCAGGAGAGGATCTGGACCATGAGCAGGACACAGTGCTGCAGCTGCAGGAGGTGATTGAGCAGCTGAGGAACGTCTTCCCGACCGAGCCAGGCCAGTGACCAGCCTGAACCACCACAGAGCGGCCTGCCGTTTCCTGGGTTGGTGCACAGTGCCTATTTGGTGCAACACTTTCTGTAATACTCAAGATCCATGATCACTTTTAAACTTCAGACGTCTACAGTTAGAATTGCTGTTTTGCTATATGGATTAAACAGAATTATGTAATTTAATAATTAGTTACATAGTTACAAAACAAGTTAAAATTCTATTCAAATTACCTTCTGTAATGATAGGTTTGAAAAACATGGCAAAAATGTAAGCATGGATAAAGCATAAAACAACTTTACACACAGTACTGTGCAACTGTCAGAGACCGCACTTTTAAAAACGATGGTATTTCAAAGGTTCTGTGGTAAAGGAAATGGAAATGGAATGCAAAGTGTTCTCTGAGTGTTCATGGTTCTATTTTCTTTACTAAAGAACCCTTGAAGAACCATCTTTTTTAAGAGTGCAACCGTCATTTATATAACTTCCAGTTATTAAGGCCATTAAGTGTAAGTCATTTTTCAACATCAGAAAAAAACAGAAAACACATTTAACAGAAAATGACACTGAAGCCTCAACAACTGAATATATTATTTTTAGTATTTAGTGTGTCCAGCATATGACTTTATCACAGCTTCCATTCTTTTCAGGAATCTTGCTTTCAGTTTTTCAAAGAAATCTGCAGGGATGTTTTTCCACACCTCCAAAGTTCAGTCTTAGAAGTTGATTGCATTTTCTGCTTCTTGCAATACCAAACTTGGATTCAGTGATGATGTGGTCTGGGCTCTGGAGTGGCCAGTTCATTGTTCTAAAAACACCAGCAGCTTCTTTTTTGATTTGCAAATCTTCTTTTCTGATTAATGGATATTTGACAGCTACACATCCCTCCAGACATTGAGTTGTCTTCTCACAGTGGAAGGATGGATAGAAACACCTGTGGATTTTTTTTAGATTTTCTCAAAAATAAAAGTTTTGGTTACTATTTATCTGATGGCAACAGTTTTAGCCTGTCACGTCTTGCATGGTTGTCAGGGGTTGCATTTTGTTCATATCTTTTAAAAAATGTTTACTCCAGGTGTGGAAAACTCTTATTTCACTTATCGCCTTTTGACTTTTCCCTTCCTTATGCAAGTGGATCATCTTATATCTAATCTCCTCAGAAAATAAATAACTTGTGCTTAATGGCTGTTTTGAGAGAAAATTCAATATGGGTGGTCTGTGACTTTTTCAAAGTGCTGTACAACAATATTTTTCATCAAATTCAAATCACAAGTACAAATATGTTTACTTCAGTGAGCAAAGAGTGAGAAATAATTAATATATTTTTTTCATGCCAGCAATAATCATAACTTTTAAGGGTTAAACAAAACATAGCTTTCTGCTTGCTTTAATTTTGTCTTTTTTCCATGCCCTTCCAGGTACCACATTGCTCATCTAACCCTAGGTTTTGTCTGGAGTATGCAAAGCAGATAGACAGACAAACACAGATGGGCTCAGTAGATCAGAGGGTTCTTTTCCCTGTCCTCACTGACTTCTGCACTGCAGCCTAAAAAGCTGAAGACATGAGTGATAACTAACATTCTCTTGGTGCCAAAGGCCAGCGCTTGATCCGTCCACTGTGCTAACCAGCTGCCTGTAGTAACGGCAGGCATGTGTGGCTTCTTCAGTACAGCACAACAACCTCTCCACAAACAATGCACAGAGAGGAGAGGAAGTCCCTTGTACTTATACCCTGTGCCAGCAACTTCAGTTTATGACTTTTTTTTTCTTTTTTTTTAATCATGTTTACTGTTTTTCTGTTTATTGCCAGCTCATGCATTGAAATATTCACACATATACAGTCTGGACCCGACTTTGTGTGGCCTCTGCTCTGAGCAGAGAGGAGCAGATTGCTGAGAGCCAGCGGGACAAGCATATTTGCTCTGTAGGGTTGACACATCATCAGCAGAAACCACCATTTATTCACTATGGTCATAGTCCTGTATTTGTGCTCTTGACTGCTCCTAGCTACAACTGTGTGCCCCCCCCAACTCCTTCACTGTCTCTCTCTTTTTCTCTCTCTCTCCCCCATCGTATTTGCCGCTCTTGCCTCTGTTATTATGCCTCGCTCACATTCAGTTACCCACAAACATATCACTGCTTATATACAAAGGATCTGCAAAGAGATAAGCGGCGATTTTACGGCTCTCCGGTTTTCGTGGAGCAGGGGGAAGGTCTCATGGCGAGGGAGATTTGTAGCACAACACAGCACTTGCTTTGTTGTGAAAGCTTTCGCCTAAGAAACGACAGGCCTCTGCTGTGCACTGTGCAGAAGGATGGCAGCCCCAGGCTAGAGCAGCAGCAGGTTGGCCTGATCCCCCGAAAACCTGCACCTCCAAAGCCCATCGGGGACTGACACACTTCAGACACAGCATAGCCTTTGCACCTTAACTCCTGCAGACAGGGCAGCGAGCATCTCATAAACAGAGCTAGCCTTAGATCACCTCTCCCTCTTTCATTTTGTCTTCTTCTCAGTTCCACTGTCTGAGGAGAGGAAAGTGAAAAGCGAGTGATGCAGGATTATTTTACATTATGGTTAAGGAGGCGGACAGCAAATTGATCCCACTCTTTGTAAGCACACAGAACGAAAAAAGGCTTTTTGTAGAGCGATTTATAGGGGGCTGTCAGATTTGTATGAGAAGAAGAAATTTGTTGGGAGAGGCAGCAGCACTGGAATACCATGAGAGAGAGAAATAGAGAGATGCAGAGAGGGGGAATAAAAATGGGATCAGAGAGAAAGAGAAGGTGAGAGATGAAAGTTGCAAGTAAGAGATTGGCTGTGTAAATATTCACTTGGGTAGGTTTAGCCGTAGCAGCCCTGTAGGTGTCAGATTAGCTGCTGCTGGGAGAGGGAGAGTGAGGAAAAGAGAGAGAGCGAGAGAGAGAGAAAAAAAGAAAGAAGGAACAGATAGAGAATGTTCTCTGTTTGTTCCAGCAAACGCTCTGAAGTCATTATCTCCTGTCTCAAGAAGCAGTGCCTGCTTCTCCACCTTTCCCTGAAAAAAGCCTTCTAAAGCCTGATTTTTCAGGGCACAGATTTTTAGTTTGAATCCCATTGCACATTCTCCAGGCCTCTCCTTGAGGCAGAATGTTCGCATTTGACATCACTGTGCACTGAACTGTCTGTTTATTTTGATGCGGTTGCTAGGGAACTGTCCCAGAGGAACCGGTTGCTCTCTGGAAAGGTGGGGCATCGTTCATAATAGAGGAAATGCAAATAAGCATATGGAAAGAGAAGGAGAGAGACAGACAGAGGAGACAAGTAAGAGAATGTGTGAGAGGTGCACACCTCCCCCACCCAAGCTGCCTGTCACTGTTTAGCTGGCATGGCTCTTCATTAAAATCAACATCTGTTGCATCCAGCAGGGACACCTGTTATCGTACTGAACACACTTTAAGAGAAAGAACACAATGCACTTACACACAAACTCCATGTTTTTGTCTTATTCATTTTTACTGTTTATTCATATGTCAGATCCCATATTACATATGCAGGAAAGAACTTTTTTCTCCCATGGTCAGCATTATAATCAACAGATCTTTTTCCTTCCTGAAGCATACTGGCACAGGAATGTCATAATCTTTGTGACAGTGAAATGGTGAGACCAGACATGGTAGCAAATCATTTACATCATCACTATGCTTTGCTATATTTACCTTCAGTTTCTGCCAGACGTTTCCACAATTATTTTTTCCTCGAGCTTATACCGGCTATTTCTCCACAGTTTACTTATTTCCAAAATGAGATTTAATGACTCTCAGTAGGTGTGCAGCCTCTGGGATTTGTAGCATGACTGGAATGGTCTCGAAATGACGTGGTACTACATGCCATTGCTAAGGGCTGTCTCTACTGTTTTTAGCTCCACTAATGAACGCATTCATTATTTTGGTTTGTAAGTAGCAGACCTGAGGTCACGACACCTATGCTGGCCTTGGCCCCCGTTGGTCAGCAGGCTTGTTTTCTCACTATGATACTGGGCATTGATTTAACCTCTGAACCTGTGATGTTACTTACATCTGTGTTGCATTTTTTCATGCTTTTACTTGATAAGTACAGACATTTCACTTAGTCTGTGTTCAAGTGTTTATCAATTTGTAATGCACTCTTACTTTTTTATTACATAATACATTGTCTGTTTGTTTCCCTTGTTTTTAATTTATATAAAATGTTTGTGAAATCAAAAGCTTTTTAAAAACGAATGGGTTACTGGCTGCTTTCTACTCATTGTGTACAGAGAAATAAATTTGTATTTGTTATACACAATGTCTGCCGCGCCTGCTTTAGTGCTCCAGGACACATCCCCGAGTTTAAGTAGGGGAATGGGGTGTAGATGTGTTTATATTTTTTTAGGTTTGTGTTTAGCAATTTTAGAAGCAGTTTTTGCAGATGATGCTTTGGATGCACTGGCTGTAGTGGGTGATTCTTTAGGAAACGTTTTTCCATTTGCATTCTTTCCCTGAGTGCCCCGGCTACTACTACTAGTCATCCTTTTTTTCTTGGTCTCAGCCCTGTTGCTGTGTTGTGCCTGTCCTTCTCCCTTTTTAGCCCCTGGCTCACCACTAGAGCCCTGCTCCCCACCGCCCGCTGTGTTGATTAACTCTTTTTGGACTTCGGTGCTCTCTGTGCCAGCTGTGTTTTTAACAGCCTCTTCCTGGGCAGTTGTAAGAGAGACATCCCTGACCTTGCTATCAGTGTCGAATCTCAGCGTACTGTCCAGATAATCTCTCCTGACTTCGGCTTGGGCTAAACCTTTCCCCTTATCTATAGGCTTGTTATCTGTCTCTGCCTTCCCCTCTGTCAGGCCCGGACAGCCTGCCTGCTCCTTGTTTAAGCTTTTTGTCTTCTCATCCTGTTGCTCCTTATTGCCTGGTAGGCTGAATGTGCTCTCCACCTCTTTTTTGTCAGAGTCGGCAGTTTTTTCTTGTTGTCCTTCATCCTTGACCACTGCCAAGCTCTCTCCAGTAGTTTTGCTCTCATCAGCCCATTTCACCTCCTTTTTCTTTTCAGACTTGCCACCTTTTTTGGTCTGGGCCTTCTTTTCCCACTTCTCCTGACTGGTGGTCCAGTAGTTCTTCTTATCATGAACATGCTTGGCCCGAAGATTCTCCCCAAGCCTCTTCAGCTCTTGCTGCACGATGGGTTTGAACTTGGGGTCGAGACGCACCACTCTGGAGAAGTCCCGACGAGCTTCATCCTCATTGTACAAGGCTGAATGAGCACGAGCACGCTGATAGATAGCTTTCAGATTGTCTTTGAGAGGGAGAGAGAAACAGAGAGAGAGAGAGAGAGAAAGAGACACATAGAAAGAGTGTGACGTCCAGCCACACATCGACTTCACAATAAATAATTCAGGTAAAAGAAAACAACAGTTTTTACTCTTTACAGAGGGCTGCTGGATGGAATTATCAGGGGAATGCAGAAAAAATCAATATGGCGAATGATGCAAGTGGTTTAAACTTCTTGGGAAAGTGAAGGATTGACGAATGAAACATCCAGTCAGTGCGGCCAAGAAGGAGCATGCAGCATATCACATCTGACACACAGCTGAAGGCCCTGTATTGCTCTAAAGAGTGAGTGAAAACTGTAATTACCCAGTTCACTACGGAATTGCGGGGGGATAGATTTATACATGCTGCTTCTTCTTTTCTTGCCTGCTCTCTAAGCCTAGAGCCAGTGTGGGAGAACCAGAATGCGCTTGGGAACATGGAGAGAGTTCTTTTGCCCTCTTAAGCCCTGAGTGTGAACTCACCTTTGTGATTCTTCAGCAGTTTGTTGTTGAGATTAACCACCTCTTGGTATTCCCCAAGCTCAAACTTGCACTGGCTGAGGTTGAGAGTGAGTGGCAGACGCACTTTCTCTAGGGACTCCCAGTCTTCTCCCTTATAGTCCACTACCTAAGCATACACATGCACACAGTGAGAGTTCTGGCTGGGTGAGCAGTGAATTGTTTAAATCCCTTAAGGGATCTCTTTATATTCTCTGTATACTATTCCACTGTACTTCTCCACTGGGAGAAGAACAAGAGGGTACTTTTCTAATGTTCCCATTGTATGTGTGTTGGTGTAAAAGCTGATTTATTTACTTTATCTATCAGCACTTACCTTGGTCTGAAGATAGTCTACATACTCCAGGGCCTCCTTGAATTTCACCATGGCCTCAGCATAATGTTGCTCCTTAATATAGAAACTGCCTTCATCTTGGAGAATCATAATTAGCCGTAACATCTGCTGCCGGTCCTTGCACTCAATCAGAGCTGCTATTCGTTCATTTGCCTCTGACTTCAGCTCTTCTGCTTCACTCTTTTGCGTGTTTTCCTCAGCAGCTGATGCACTCTTCTCCTCCTCCTCTTTGACCTCCCGCTGAAGACACTGGACATCCTCACTCAGGTTCTCTTTTGTCTCCTGCTCAGCCATTCTTTCTTCCTCTTCCTCCTCCTCATTCTCTTTCTCTCCCTTGTTCTTCTCTTTCTCTTCAAGCATGTTCCAGTACCTCTCCTTGTCCTCCCAGTATTTCTCCTTCATTCTCTCAGAGAGGTTCTTCAGCTCTTTATGCACCAGCCTGGCCAGAGTCACATCCAAGTTGGCCACCATCAAGAAGTCCCGTTTGGCCTCCTTCTCACTCCACACGGCAGCGTAAGCTTTCGCTCGTTTATAGTAAGCCTTCACACAGTCTAGAGAATGGGAAAAGAGAGAAAAAAGTGCAGGTCAGTTTAAACAAGGCAGTTGCAGTTTCACCCTTCCACTATTGATGTGTCACTGTGGAGTATGTGCTCTAGCTTTTCAAAGCAAACTTGCTTAGACTGCATCTCACCCGGGGCTGTGTGTGCGCCTTACACAAATCACTGCATTGTGTTGTGGCGTGAAGTGTTGTTATTGTGAAGATAAGGTTTTCGTAGCGCGAAAGAAACACACCACAGGGCCTAATCCCATATATGTGTCACTTTATCCCGCTCAAGTAGGACACACACACACAAACACACATCCTTAATCCTCGCTCTGTGCTGAGTGGGCTTGTGAGCCTAGTAAAGATCCCCCACCGATGGCTCTGTGCTGCTCCTCTTTCATTTGATCTCACTTCACATTAAATCTTTCATTTTGCCAACATTTAAATAGACCTTTTTCTTCTGCTGTAGCCTCTGGCAATAATGCTGCCACTGCTGTGCAACTACAGCAAGTGAATTTCAGGAGATGGCTCTGCAGACAACCCACAAAGGAAGTGGTAAAGAGAGCGAGATGGAAGATTTAAACTGATAGAGACAACAAAGTGTGGATGACACATGAAGCAGGATGGAGAAAGAGAAAGGAATGAGGAGAACAGCAAGGAAAGTTGATTTTGCAGAACGCGAAGACGAATGTGACACCAGTTTTCTGGCTTGTTATGCAGAAGGCTCATTATGAGAGCTCGGAAGGTACTCACACGGCCTCTGGGGCATCTACAGGAGGTAAGCACATCTGTCTCCTGGTTGCAGTTGGCAAGTCTTACTTAGCACTGTTACTGTAGCTTGCTAAATGCACAGTGAGCTATGGATAAATAAGCAAATACCAAACACTGCCACATTCTATAAAAGCAGGAGGGTAATACCTAAAGCAAGGGCCTGTTTCATTCAAAGACACTAAAATGGCTAAACTGTGACTGAAAGCTAGTGGTAGCCTTTTCATGTGATTTCATTTGCATTACAGCAGCTAGGCCCTACTAGCCCTCATTTATTATTAATAAAGTTAGCAATTGGGGAAAGTTTTCCTTTAACTTGTGAGATGAAATGCCAGATAGCATGCAGATGCATGCCAATTCTGATGAAGATATAGCACTGCTGGCCCATGGTCGACACTGGTAAACTGCATGTGAGCCAAAACTGGCCTGTTTATTAAAATGCTCATTTGGTCCACATGTGTTAAAACAGATCTGGGCAACTTCTGGCAAAGATAAGACATTTAGGTTAAATGTATTTGTGACTGCTTAAAATGTTGTGTTCATTGAACATCAAATAATAGGTTAATAGAACAATAAAACTTATCTGATGTTCAGCTGACTTTAACTTTTAGGTCAGCCATGTAGCTTAATTGTGCAATCATGAGTTCAAGTCCCATCAATGCTACAGTATCTGCAGCTGATGAAGCACATTCTAGAGGGGGAAGTACATGCTAGCCTCCACTCCCTGAGCCTGGTGGAACAGGGAAGTTGCCCTAACCGCCTGTCTGTGTTGTTTTGGATGATTGTGACGTTGCAGGAGTCTTACCTTTGTGCTTCTCTATCAGTTCAGTGGTGTGCTCGATCACCTCATAGTATTCTTCTAGCTCCAGCATGCACTGACAGTAGTTGAGGACCAGAGGGATGATGAGCTTGCCCAGGTTAATATAATCCTCATCTCCTGGCATCTCCTACATAGTGCAAAACACAACCTTGTTAGCAGTTTTTGAGCTAGCTACACAGTGGTGGAGAGAGATATCTGAACCTATATGACCTCTATATTTCTCCCATGCAGTCTCCTGCTAAGCCCCATGAGCAGCTCTAGCCCTTCTTTCCCTAAAACTATTCTGGAGGAGTTGCAGGAGTTATCTAACATTTCATGACCCTCAAATTTCTTAGAGATGAAAGGTGGCCTATGTGCCATCACACACTCAGTATAATATAGTGAAAATGTACTGTAAATGTACTCTATTTAGATTTTATTCTTCTTGGAATATACTGATAACCTTCCATTTTCATATGAGAGCCTGTCGAAGCAGCCCTTCTAGCCCATTACCCTAGAAATATATTGGATAATTAGCTGAGTTTACACAAAGTTCATACGGATCTGTCTAAACTACTTGATTGTGTTACCCATTCTAACACTTTTTGTATCATAATGTTTTCATAATGTGTTCAAAGTAACCCAAAATGTGTTAAACATAACTGGGTATAGAAATATTTCAACACATTTTGTGTTAAAAGTAAGACAAAATATGTCATCTCCAACTGAACACACTGATGTGTGTAGTTAGAGACAGAATGTGTTGTTTTTTAACAACGTTAACCACAGCAAATGTCCTTTTAACGGGAGGGGGTGGCCTGTGCAAGCGCTACTTTGTGTGCCACATTCTTTGAGCTCCCCCTGAACTGCAGAGCCCGTGGAGGATACCAGACTATAAATAAATGTAATTCCAGTATGCTAGTTAGATGGAAACTTATTATGTTGCCTGTGGGAGTTGCTTAAAATGATATAGGATATCAGGATACCACTAGGGTTGTCCTAAAGTTAGGACAGTGTTTGAGAAATTTTGTCTAGTAAGCATGCTTCCCCTGTAGAAAAGCATTTCATGCTGGTCTGCCCTGGCTTACGCCGGTCTATTGCTTGTCTGGTTCTCGTTTAGCTGGTCACCCCAGCATGGTCATGTTGGTCCACCAGCATATCAGCATCAAAACAAATGTCGGTTTTGGTGTTGATCAGCATATCAATGTCCATTGCTGCTGGTCAGCATACCAGCATCCAAAACACAACATATACTGGTTTTGCTGGTGATGAGCCATGCTGGTTCATGCTGTTTTTTCTAGCAGGGTCTGTAATCCTGCTTTCTTATCTGGAGTTGGAATAAGATTGTGAATTTCTAACTGAATAGGTAAGACTTCAGAGTTTGAGGACGTTTTTGTAATATAGCCTCTGGTATCAGCTATAATGAGCTCAATCCAGTTCAGATCCTTCATTTCTTTTTTGCGTTCTGTTTACTCCGCTGTCATAGAGGCACCATAAATGGACATCTTCCACAACATGCCGCAGTGAGGAGCTTTTTCAAAGGGTATTAAAGCAGTTTATATGTCTACAGTCTGGAGCTGCTTTAAAGAAGAAGCTTAAACCAAGTGAAATCTGCAGCTTCAGTGTTTCCGCTGTATTTACAGTAGCCCTCTTTCGTCTTGCAGGCACGTAAAATGAGTAGAGACAATTTTCTGCCTCTTGCCTTGAGCGACGTGCCGTCAAAACCATGTACTAAATACACTTCAGCAATATTCTTCACCCTCGAGTCGTGCCCGGTTAAAAATTATTGCAGAAATGTTGTTCATCCCCGCTAACTTATACCAGCATGGAATTTACATCTGGTTTATGCTGATCTGGTGCTGGTTTAGCTGGTCCCCAAGGATGGTCATGCTGGTTGACCAGCATATTAACATCTAAACACAACATATGGTGGTTTGGCCAGGTGTGAAATCAAAGCATATTCACCCCCTATAAAACAGTGTTTTCACATTAGTAGCCCAATAAAGATATTGAAAATGGGAATAAACATGGGAAAAAAGCATTGTTTTTCAGAAGATATGGTAGATAAAAAATATTTCAGCCACAATGCCAATGGACAAATCACCACAGATGAAAGTACTGAAGTACTGACAAAGTTATTCCAACAAATACGGAAAACAGCTCAATGGCCGGAAGATTGGAAGAGGTCAGTTTATATGCCAATACCAAAGAAAGGAGATAAGAAATGGCAACTATCACACATGTTATCATTATTAATATCATACAGCAGTAAAATAATGCTTAAATTTATTCAATGCAGATTAAAGCCTTACACTGAAAGAGAACTGCCAGACATGCAAACATGATTCGGAAAAAGGCAGAGGAACAAGATATATTATTGCGGATGTATGCTGGATCAATGAAAAAGCCAAGGAATTCAAGAAGGAAGTGAACATGTATCACTGACTACAGCAAAGCCTTCGACTGTGTTGATCATGTTAAATCATGGAATGTCCTCAGGAAAATGGGAATACCAGAGAATCTCATTGTTCTACTGAGGAATCTCTACACTGATCAACAAGCCACGGTCTGGACACAAAATGGACAAACAGAATGGTTCCACACTGACAAAGGAGTTAGACAAGGCTGCATACTATCACCATATCTGTTCAACCTGTTTGCAGAATATAAAATGAGAGAAGGACTGGAGGAAGATGATTGAGGATTCGGAATTGGTAGAAGAAACATCAACAACTTTCGAGTGGAAAATCTGGAAGACCCGAAGGCCCTGACAAGGAAGGTTAAAAAATAAAGTGTAATGATGGTACTTCATCTCAATATGAAGAAGACTAAGGTGATGATGACAGGAAAGACCGCTAAATTTACCATTGATGGAGAAGATGTGGAAATGGTCGGCAGCTTTCGCCTATTCCAATCAATTATTAACAACAGAGGATCTAGCACTTCAAAAATATGACACAGATTGTTGCTCAGCAGAACAAGGACCAAGGAGCTTTAAAAGATCTTTAAATGCAACGATTTGTCTCTACAAAGATCAGAATTGTCCAGGCTACGATTTTGTCTGTGGTTCTTTATGGATGTGAAAGTTGGACAACAAACAAGCGTGACAGGAAAAATACAGATGCTTTTGAACTTTTAAGAGAACCTTGGATGGCAAAGAAAACACACAAATGGATCCTAGATCTAATCAAGCCTCACCTCTCACTCGAAACCAAGATAACCAAACTAAATCTTACTTTGGACATATTCTAAGAAAAGCCAGTTCATTGTTAAAGACCATTATGCTTGGAATTGTTGAAGGTAAAAGAGGAAGAGGACGACCAGCTACAAGATGGATGGATACAATCAGAAGAATCATGAACTAGCCTTTGAGAAGCCTGAACAGGAGACAGGCTATTTTGGAGAAACGCTATCCCTATGTTCGGCAGTAATCAGAAGCAACTTGATGGCCCTTAAGTCCAATAAAAGCATTGAATTTGATTTTTAAAAATGTGCAGCAACTCTATTACATGACCTTCATATTTTTCCTTATTAACAACTCTGACACGCTGATTATGTACTATAAATACATACGTGGAGCCCTTTTTGCATCTGTTACCCTAAAACCCTGTTGGAGCAGATAGTTAGCTGAGTTTATAAGAATTACATATTCTTCCCATTCCCTCTCACACCTGCTCTTACAAAATGTAATATACCAAACATTTATTACAAGTACACTGTATTTCCAAAAGTATTCGGACACTCCTACTTAGTAGTGAATTCAGCTACTTTAATGTGCACCTTTTGCTAAAACACACGTTGTATAATCTCTATAGAAAAGTACCGCCAACAGAATGGAATGGGGCACTCTGGAGCAGCCGCACATGAGCCTAATTCCACAGAGCAAAGCGATATCTAGAGGGGCATAAAGCACCCTAGGATTAGGCTTCGGAGCATGAAACTGCTTCTCTAGAGTGATGGAGCACCATCAAATACCTCTTGAGTGCCGTTTGTGATCCAAATCTAATCATCTAACATCAGGGCCTGACCTCACTAATGCTCTTGCAATCAAATCCTAACAGCAATGTTCCAACTTTTAGAAGAACAGAGGCCTTAAGCGACATGCTGCCAAAACCATGTTTTAATGCCCTTAATTTCAGAAGAAATGTTGGATGAGCAGGTGAATACAATACAAACTATTGGACATGTATTCTCTTATTTTATTTTAGTATATGCTATTCAACAGTGTATTCCATTTTATCATGGTAGTTAAGCAGTCATTTTGCCACTGTTGCCCTACACTGTCAGGAATAAGGCACTAAACTGTATCTTTCAGGGTACAAATGCTGTCATTAGGGTTGCACACGTCAATACAATCAGTACACCTTGACACAATGCACCTTGTTTTGAATTCAGCCTATTTTTTATGTTTAAAATATATATGAAAAGGTAAAAAGTTGCACCTCTCCCTAGGAAAGTGAAAGTGGTGCACCCTAAGGACCACTATCTTTACATTGTACCTTTGGGGGACAAAATGTACCTGTGCAGTACCCTTTGTTCTGACTGTGTAGAACTATTTTTCCCATTCTCCCTCCTGCTAATCCTTCCAGCAGCTCTTGCCTGTCTTACCCTGGACTGAACAACCCGAAGCAGCAGCACAGCCTCCTTGTACTTCTCTGAGGCCTCACGGTAACGGCCCTGCCGGACCAGATTGTTGCCCTGGAGATGGAGGGAGGGCACCATTTGCATCTTCTCGTCCTTGTCCATAAGCCAGGACTCGCGGTGGTAGGAGAGCGGGTCGCCCACCTGAGTGAGGCACATGGAACAGACTGTGAGAGGAGAGAGAGAGCCCGTCATGCTTGGCTGAGGATTGGAAACTGCTTTTCTCCCCTGTGTGTATCGCATGATTGCCTGGCAGTCTGTTGTGTTCTGCCTTGAGTGGTTTGGGCAGCAGCGAGAAATCTGTTGTAGGTTGCAAGAGTGGGATTGTAGTAAAAATGGTTGTGTTGAAGGGCACGTGTATGTGTGCGTATGTGTGTGTGTGTGTGTGTGTGTGTGTGTGTGTGTATACACCCATCCTACCGAGATTAGCTCCATGATGAAGATTAGAGGCTGTGGCTCTCTCATCAGCTCATCGAGCTCAGGGAAGCCTGTGGAGTGGTAGGTGAACACGTTGCCCATACCACACATGTGTTTGTGCCCTTCCAGTGGGTCTTTCCCCTGAGCGGCCAGTCGCATTCCTTTAGAGACGATGGGGTACAGTCCTGTGTGCTGAACAATATTAAGATATTAAAAAGAATAAGATATATATGAGACAAATCTGAAAAGACAAGTGTTGTGGCTTTTGATTTATCATATGATGTAAAAACCATACTTAGAAAATAAATATACAAATAAACTATATGGACAAAAGTATTGGGACACCTACAGAAGCTTTTATGACATCTCATTCTAAATCCACAGGCATTCATATGGAGTTGGACCCCTCTTTGCAGCTATAACAGCTTCCACTCTTCTGGGAAGCTTTTGGAGAGTGTCTGTGGGAATATTTGCCCATTCATCCTGAAGAGCATTTGTTAGGTCAGACACTGATGTTGGACTAGAGGGCCTGGCTGGCAGTTCTAGTTCATCCCAAAGGTGTTCGATGGGGTTAAGGTCAGGGTTCCGTGCAGGCCAGTCAAATTCTTCCACACCAAACCCATCCAGCCATGTCTTTATGGACCTTGCTTTGTGCACTGGGGCACAGTCACGCTGGAATAGAAAAGGGCCTACCCAAAGTGTTCCCACAAAGTTGGACGCATACAGTTGTCCAAAATGTCTTGGTATGCTGAAACATTTCCCTTCATTGGTATGCTGAAGCAAGATTTCACTTCATTGAAAAACAACCCCATAGCATAGTGGCTGCATGCTTTATACGACTCCATCTGACAATTGGCATTGTGCATTTTAATTTTAGGCTGGTGTGTAACCGCTCAGCCATGGTAACTCATTTCGTGAAGCTCCTAACATGCAGTTCTTTTCCTAATGTGGCTTCCAGAAGCAATTTGGAACTCTTTAGTGAGTGATTCAACAGAGGATAGGCAGTGTGCACTTCAGCACTCGGAGGCCCCACTCTGTGAGTATGTGTGATCTACTGCTTTGTGGCTAAGCTATTATTGCTCCTTGGTGCTTCCATTTCACAATAACAAGAATTTATTGTTACTTGTTACTGCATTAATGTCTGTTTGCATTTATAGTATGAAAACTGTTTTAATAGTAGTATTATGTAAATATATACCAGTCAAAAGTTACACATACACTCCCAGTCAAAAGTACCCACTTGCCTATAGAAGGTTTTGCTATTTTTATTCCACATTTCTGAATAACTGTGTGGACATAAAACTATAAAATAACACATATGAAACTGAGGGACAGAAGAAAATACACATGGGACCTTACTGTGGCTGAAAACCACTTGTTGGGGGGATATTTAAAAAATATTTTTTAATGATTTCATACATAATCATCAAATTTTCCATTTCTTCTGTCTTGGAAACAAATCTGATTTGCATTCAAGCAAAAGTCTTCGAAAGAAATTGTATTTAAGCTTATGAAAAAAAAGCATATTTATTAGTATTCAGTTAGGTTTGTCCAAACCTTTAACTGCTGGTGTATATATATATATCTGCTGTTCTGGTGTCTCAAGACAAAAGGCGTTCAGTGTTTTCTGTTGCAACTCAAATCAATTAAGTGTAATCTGAATTGCAAATAGGTAATGGTAATTGTCTTTGTTTTGTCATTTACAGGGAGAAAACTTAGTTAAAAACAGAAAAATAATTTGCAGATATGTTAATAGCTAGTCAGTGTAGGAGGCCACCCGGGGTTGTCTCATACGCATAAGAATGAGGAAACTCTCCACCCTTACGTGAGCACTAATTACGGTCCTATTTCGACTCCCTGCTCGGTTCCTGAGCGGGGGAGGCAGCTGAAGGAGCCGAAGGAGATTTATTCTGATCTCTGGCACTTACGATGGCATCGCACCAGAACTCCGCCACTTCGCCGATCCTCATGGATGTTAGCAGCACCTCCCACACCTCCATCTTGAACATCTTCCCCACGAAAATCTCGGTGGGGCGCTTGTTTCTGCGACTGTCGTCAATCACTGTTCTCTCAAAGTTGTCCAATATTGTCTGGAAGTGGAACACCAACTTTTGGAGAGAGAGAGAGGAGAGAGAGAGAGAGAGAGAGAGAGAGAGAGAGAGAGAGAGAGAGAGAGAGAGAGAGATTAGGAGAGAGCAGAGGAACTGAGGTAATATGATGTTTTCCAGCTTTCTCCCCACACACCTCCTATGTGTCAGTGAATCTAACGCTTGTGTGTGTCTGTGTGTGATGGTGGAGTCTTCAGTTAAAGGACCCCTCTTTCTGTCTGCCTCTCTCTCTCTCTCTAGCTTGCCGCTGGTTCCTTTGCTTTTTGAAAGAAGTTATTTCTGGTCCGACACGGCCCCCACTGAAATGAGTCATTTTAATGCGTTGTCCGTTTGAACTCGGCCGATATGCAGGCACCTCGACAGAATGAGAGCATACACACACTCTCACACACGCAGAGCGGCGCACAGCTGCTGAATGGAGAGATTAATGTTGGCATTGTCGTGGAAAATGTTTGTCATCATCTCCAAGCCCGAGGCCATATGGCTGGACAAGGCTAGTAGAGAGAGAGAGAGAGGAAAAAAAAGACCAAAAAAAAAAATAATAATAATAATAAAAAAAAAGAGACCAAAACAAAACAGAGCTGCCACTGTTCAGGCTAGTTGGTTGCCAAACTTCTGTTTAGCTATTTTATGGACCAAATGGACCTAATCAGCTTTTTATCATCCAGTAAAAACTATCTACAGCAGAGTCTAATCGATGTAAACTGTCAGACATAAACCCGTCCAGGAACAAAGCTCTCATGAAAACCATTTCTCACTAGGCTTTATTTTTATTGCAGAAGTCATTCCTGCCATTTAAAACCTTCCACATGAGTGAGTCCTACCTTTGTCCCATTTGGGAAGTGAGGCAGAGGGCCCCGGCCCCCATGCAGAATCTTCTTCTTCACTCCAGGATGGTTGAGTAGATAAGTTTCCTCCATTTTTTTTCTCAGGTTTTCTTACAAAGTAGACCTGAGTGAGAGAGCTTGGAGAAGTGCTGTGGTCTGTATGTGTGTGAGAGTGCAAGAGGGAGTTAAGTCCTCTGCACTCTGTTAATTAACAGGCTGAAGAAGGGAGCCGGCTAGCACGGGGCAGTCCCAGTGAGGCTTGCCTGCTTTCTGACAGATGGCTGGATTAGCAGGTTGAGGATGGCCACTTTAATCTGCCTCGGCTAATCCTCCAACCGCCCCTGAATCTTCAGCATAATCCTCTGCAAGAAGCAGAGGGCCTTGTGACCAAAGGCCGGAACTCAGGATATGGGAGGTTAAGATCATTCTGGAAAGCAGAGAATCTAGAAGCCTGGAGGACTGCAAAGAGTGGGCGGTTTTACAATTCAAGTGAGAGTAAATTTTGGCACAGAGGATGATCTGGAAGAATTGGGTGCCAATTGTCAGGGCAACTAGAGAGTTAATGGCTGCTGGGAGGGTAAATCTTCAGTCAGTTAACACTACCTAAACTACAAATGTCAGAAGAGCCTCAGAAGAGCTTCAGCTTCAACCTGAGTGATGACAGTATTACATGACTACTGATAAACAGATGTTTTTAAGATAAAATAGAAACATTTTTGTTGCCATCTGATATTTTACACCTGCTGTTCTTAACAGTCTACATATTATTCTCTAAGTAATGCTGTTTCCATTTATTCATGTGTAAATGGTTGATTGACCCTTTAAAGTAGGCTGAATTCAGCAAAGTTGGATTTGGCGGGAGGTTTTCAGACCACATCCTACGTCTCTAAGTATTGACGTCACACGCCCAGACACAAAAAGAAGGTCTGACTCCATATGGGCTGTTTACTTGAGTAACGTTGCTCACAGTGCTGCAAGTTAGTTAAAGGAAAAAGAGATATCGCCGAATATGCAGACATCGGAACGGCAAGTCCTGTTGTGCTCTGCGGCGTCACCCACGGTCGGAGCAAATAAACGCAGTAGCCCTACCGAGCGTGCGCATATCATTGGTACAGTGTAACTCAGTGTTTTAAATGCTTTTAATGTGAATTCAGCGCAGACGCAGGCTAATATTGACACTTCCCCCTGGTGATTTAGGTTATCAGAATATTCTAATTAATATGTTAATGCTGGGAACATTTTATGATAAGATCATTCGCCATCTTCTTGTTTGAACTGAACAGGATCCTGTTCCATCTTAAATGGTGCAGCAATTCTGGTGCCTGAGGAGTTATATTAGCTGCTGCACCATTTAAGGTGGAACAAGAAAATTTGAACAAGAAGCTGCCGAATTACCTGAGCTTTGCAGTATTAATGCTCGTGTTTTTTTATTTTTATTACTTTTTTATATAAGGAGATTTAAGCTATAACAATATCCTACCTAGATGTTTCATGTAGGGAGCTATTTATAAACCTGCGCTACGGTAGAACATCTCCCTTTTAGCATAAAGCTAAAAGGGAGAGCGACACCCTGTACCCTTATAATTGTGAAGTTGTTTTAGCTGTATAGCTAACGTTAGCTGGTTAATTCACTAATATTAGCCAATTACTGTGCTAAAAACATTGTCTTTTATTGCTTCAGAGTTCATCCTCTATTGTTTGATAAACAAAGCCGTTATTCTCTGTCAATTTCTAGTACTAGTTAGCTATCAGTTATCTGTGGTGAAGTAGGTAGCATATCCATACCTTTCCCTGAGTTATAAAAAAGAGCAGTTCAGATTAATCTGCTTGGAGAAGGGGACCGCAGCACAACCCACATTACAGAATGTTCTTCTGCAAGTTTTATGCAATTCCTCAACTTAAGTTTGTAAGCCAAACTTAAGTGCAGCTTTTAAATGAAGAAGATAAATTTGTTGAAGAATCTCAATTGAAGTCATTCCAAATTTCTGTGCCAATTTATCACCCTGAGTTAAGACAGATGCATGATTTTTTTTTTTTTTGTTGATGTCGCATTATTAGATAGCATACTGCCTTTTTATAAAAATCTAAAGGCACCATGCAAAGTTCAAAGCTCTATAATGTACAAATATCAACACTCACCTGGCCTGTTTTTATAATGTCACACTACATCTCAGTTTCCTGTCCAGGCAAGCACACCCTGCTACACCAATTGGGCAAAACTCCTAATTCTACATTACCTACCTCTGTAGTTTGATTAAAAAAGTAAGTCACTTTGGTTAGGAATGTCTGTCGTGTACAGTACTGTGCAAACTTCTTTGAGCAAATTAAATTTGAAAAGCTATTTATCAAGGTACTGTTAAGAAAAACACTAATATTAGTATAAATACAGCTTAAATACAGTAATTAGTGGTTTTATGTATTTCAGTGCATTCTCATAACCACTTCCAACCCTCTCCTACAGAAAGCCCAGTATTACTTGCAGTTTGTCTAATCAGTCATTCATTAAATTTATACCATTGTGGTGGTGGTGAATTTGAATGCAGTGCATGTGGGCACCGAGGACAAATCCAGAACCAAACCTCTGATCTTCTAACTCGCTCACATTAACTACATTTTTTACAGACAGTAACACACGTTTGGCTGAAGTAAATGTTTTTAAACTATTGGTGTCAAAGTTAATGCATCATTTACATGTTATTAACACATTAACACAAAAAGTGGTTAATATCACTATAATTTAACAGCATTCATGTATTTTCCTATTTTGACCCTTTAAACTATGTGTAGTTTAATTAAGCTAAAGTGCTATTCACCAACTTCCTATTCAAAATTTTTGTTCCATCTTAAATGGTGCAGCAGTTACAGGTGCCAGAATTTAACTGCTGTTTTATTCAAATACGGGTTTTACATGGCAAGTTCTGTCCATGGTTCTCTTGATAAAAAAAGTCATTTCCAGCTATTGCCATGGTGAATTTGTTCATCACTAAAGTGCTTTGAGTCTGAAGTATCATTTACAAGCAAAACTCACCACTGATGCCTGCTACATCAGTAACGTTAGCACTGGAGGCTGCCTTTGGCAGACTATACTTGACAGTGCTCCTGTGAGAACTATGGACAGGGTTGGGCAAAATAATTTGGAAAAGTAGTGAGAATTCAGAATACATTTAGAATACAGAATGAATTCATGAGTTGTTACTGGTTGGCAGTTTTCTTTCTGTAATTGTTCTGCCAATACATTTCAAGAAAAATTCTGATCATTCTCAAATCAAGTTCTCACCGTCTGCCACAATCCCCCCTAGCAGGAGTCAGACTTCCCTCAAAAGGGCTCAGTAGCACTGAGATTAATAACTCATTACATTGATTTATCAGCCTACTCATGTTTTAGCAGAGCTCAGGAACACTGAGATTAATTTATCAGTCTACTCAGGCTTTAGCAGCACTTAGTAACATTGAGATTAATAACTGATCATCACGTTGATTTATCAGTCGACTCAGCCTTTAGCTTTAGGAACTGTACCTTGGAGTTGCCTGGTGTGTTCCATTTTTTTTTTTATCTTGTGGATGGCCGGGTACACGTGAGCCATTTCAGAATTAGAATTCGCAAAGTAGTAGAGGCACAAGGAATTTCTCTTGGTGCAGTTGTCAACATAAAATTAAACTCAACAAAATAAAAATACTAAAAGATGTAATATATATATAAACACAAAATAGTACTAAAATAATCTGCAAGAAATATCAAAGGTGTGCAATGGGAAGTACAGTGGGGTGCGAAAGTTTGGGCAGCCTTGTTAATTTTCCTGATTTACCTTTATAAATCATTGATTGTTTGGATAAAAAAATTCCGTTAAATATATCATATAGGGGACAAACACAGTGATACTTGAGAAGTGAAACGAAGTTTATATGAATTACAGAAAGTGTGCAATAATTGTCTAAACAAAATTAGGCAGGTGCATAAATTTGGGCACCAAAAAAAAAACCTTAACTCAATATTTAGTAGATCCTCCTTTCGCAGAAATAACAGCCTCTAAATGCTTCCTATAGCTTCTAATGAGAGTCTGGATTGTGGCTGAAGGTATTTTAGACCATTCTTCTTTACAAAACATCTCTAGTTCATTCAGGTTTGATGGTTTCCGAGCATGGACAGCTCTCTTTAAGTGACATCACAGATTTTCAATAATATTCAGGTCTGGGGACTGAGATGGCCATTCCAGAACGTTGTACTTGTTCCTCTGCAGTTCCTCCTTAGTAGATTTTGAGCAGTGTTTAGGGTCGTTGTCTTGTTGGAAGATCCAGCCCCCGCGCAGCTTCAGCTTTGTCACTGATTCCTGGATGTTGATCTCCAGAATCTGCTGATATTGATTGGAATCCATGCGTCCCTCAACTTTAACAAGATTCCCAGTCCCTGTACTGGCCACACAGCCCCACAGCATGATGGAACCACCACCAAATTTTACTGTAGGTAGCAGGTGTTTTTCTTGGAGTGCTGTGTTCTTTTTCCTCCATGCATAACGACCCTTATTATGCCCAAATAACTCTATTTTAGTTTCATCAGTCCACAGCACCTTATTCCAAAATGAAGCTGGCTTGTCCAAATGTGCTTTAGCATACCTCAAGCGGCTCTGTTTGTGATGTGGGCGGAGAAAAGGCTTCCTCTGCATCACTCTCCCATACAGCATCTCCTTGTGTAAAGTGCGCCGAATAGTTGAACGATGCACAGTGACTCCATCAGCAGCAAGATCATGTTGTAGGTCTTTGGTGCTGGTCTGTGGGTTGACTCTAACTGTTCTCAACATCCTTCGCTTCTGTTTATTCGAGATTTTTCTTGGTTTGCCACTTAGAGCCTTGAACTGTGCCTGTGGTCTTCCATTTTCTCACAATGTTTCTCACAGTGGAGACTGAAAGCTGAAATCTCTGAGATAGCTTTCTCTATCTTTCCCCTAAACCATGACGGTGAACAATCTTTGTTTTCAGGTCATTTGAAAGTTGTTTTGAGACTCCCATGCTGCGACTCTTCAGAGAAGATGCAAAGAGGAGAAAAACTTACAATTGCCCCCCTTAAATACCCTTTCTCATAATTGGAGTCACCTGTGTATGGAGGTCAAGGGTCACTGAACTTACCAAAAATTAGTTCTAAAGGTTTTGAAATCAATAAAATGACAACAGTGCCCAAATTTATGCACCTGCCTACTTTTGTTTAACCAATTATTGCACACTTTCTGTAAATCATATAAACTTCATTTCACTTCTCAAATATCACTGTGTTTGTCCCCTATATGATATATTTCACGGAATTTTTTTATCCAGACAATCAATGATTTATAAAGGTAAATCAGGAAAATTAACAAGGCTGCCCAAACTTTCGCACCCCACTGTAAGTATAGATACAATCAAGTACTGATGTACTTTTACCTGGGGAAGTAGGATTCAATGTCTGGAGTCACTGTCAAACAGGAGGCAGTGTGATGCTCTGGGCACTGTTCTACTAGAAAACCATTTGACACAAGCCACCTACCTAAACATCTACACAGTACTTTAGTGATGCAATGAAAGAAAGTTCAGACAACTCAAAGAGTTTTAACTATTTGTACTTGTACTTTTTCTTAAATTTGTTCTTGAAAAAGACCCTAAGAAAAGTCTCTGTCAGATTCATGGTGTTTTAAACTGCAGAATTGTTTGCACCTTAGTGCTCTTGAGGGTGCACAGATTCTGTTCTTACCTAAGAAGACTCCTAATTAGTTTAGGTGTTTTCCGCCACACTCATTGCTAACAGGTTTATAAAATCAAACACATAGCCATGCAACCACCATAAATAAATACTGGCAGTAGAACTGGTCATACTGAAAAGAGGCAACTCTATATTAATGCTCAGGGTTTTGGAATTAGATGCCAAGCAAGCTCATATAGGTGTGACGTCAGGTGTCCAAATACTTTTGTCCATATAATGTACATAATTATGAAACACCCTTACTTAAATACATTAATAACTGCTACACAGAGGTAATTACATGTTAGCTATTAGAAGTGTGTAAATAAATGATCATAGTATACTACAGTGGCTGTTAAATATGTCCCACTGCCTAGCTTGATTAGCAAAAGTGGGACAGTATTTTAAACCCAGTTTGTCAAATAAATCATAAATGGAATAAATCATTTTGGAATAATATATAGTTTTATATAATAATATATAGTTTTTCATTGGCCAACCAATCTTCTTTTAAAAAATCCAAATGAAGATTAAATCAAACTAAGAACTTCATGTTTTCTTCAAAAGTATTCTGATTTGTTGCTCCACCAACCACTGTTTGGTGTAAATCAGGCTGATCCCAAATTATGGTCACACCCAAAACAATTACGTCTACTAAAATCAAATACTGAATGACGAGCACAGCTGGGGTAACTATTCATGACAGTTAAATTTCATTCCAACAGAAACAGTTCATGAAGCTTATTCTTCCAACTTTACCTGATGGCTCATTTTGCTGAACTCACCCTATAACACACAGAAAACCAAATGGTTCCTATACCACTTTTATTGTTTAAAGTGGATTTATTTAAAAGTTAAAAAAAAAAAAACATTGTTCTTCATTTAGCAGTGGATGCCAAACTAGTCAGACATTGCGCTGCCCTCTGGTGGTCATTTCTCGATCAAGGAGTCCAGCTGCTCTTGCAGGGAGGCCAGCTGTTGGAGCAGGAAATGAGAGGTGATTGATGGCTAGCAGTGGCACTGTAATTATGGACTAAGTGGAGGATGATTAATGAGACTTCCAACATTATTAGCTTTTTTGGTACATGTATCAGTTCAAGCGTAAACAAACACCAGAGAGGCTGGTGTAGGGCAGAGGTCAGGGTTTGAGTGAGCACAAAATACAGTTGTTCAGCTTGCTCAGCATAGATCAAGAAAATTAAGTTTGGTTGCAGTGCATCAGTACTGGCTAAAAATATGATGACCGCATATGTGGGCTTTGTGGAACATACCTGCTCCATCTCTCGCTCCTCTTGATGGATAATGTCGTTCAGCAGTGCCTGAAAGCGATTCTGAGAGAGAGAGAGAGAGAGAGAGAGAGAGAGAGAGAGAGAGAGAGAGAGAGAGAGATTGGGGGGAAGGGAGTTAAGAGAAAGAGTGAGAAGGAGCAACCTAGAGTCTGACAGATAGAGAGAAAAATACAAAGAGGGCTACAGAGGAAACGCAAACACAGATATCAGATTCATCTGAAGGTCCCTGGTTGTGATGTTGGCCATTTGCATGTGCCAGAGGTCCTTTATATACAGTTCTGTCTGACTGCTGTTACAAGTCGTAGTGAAAGGGCTGATTTGATGAGCATGACCTTTCCCTGTCCCTTCTGATTGCGATGGCCAAGGACTGAGTCAGCCGGCGCAGCGTACGAGCCAAAACTGAAATGACACTGTAAAACCACACACGTCCCACCATGTTTCACAGCCTCTAAGTTCTCCCAAAGGAGCAGTTGGCAGAGCAGTTAATTTAAGCTTTTTTTTTAGTTATGCAGAAAGGGCTGATAACAAAAATGCAATATTTATGCTTTGAAGAGAAAAAAAGATGGCCCAGGAGTTGCCTGCAGTTAAGGTATTTGAGTTTTATTCAAACTAGTTTAAATGGTTACACTGCACAAAAAATCTCCACTTTGGGATGTGTGCTTATGTGCAATGATGCCAGTATCACTAAGCACGGTGTTGCTTGTGTAATTCTCACCTTTAGAGCCTGATTCTCCACCTTCATGATCAAATCCTCTTGCTGCTTCTTACGGGCGCGCGTCTCCTGTAGCTTGGCCTTGACACTGTTGATCTGCACCTGGAACTCCATCACTGTGGATGCACAGCAGAGAGTTTTAGTGCAAGCGTCAGAACCTCTACACAGTGATGTGCCACTCACGCAGCATCTACGGCCAATCCGATCAGCTTCACGTACACATACAAGCTTTCTGAAGCTTGGAGAGCCCACACACAGTTCACACCAGGAAAACATGCCTACAGTCATGGGAGAATTTTCAACTGACAGCAGACAGCATTGACATTTTCCCTGAAATTTCCCATCCATCAACCGTTTCAAGTTTTTTTTTTTTTCACGCTCCCTCTTAGAATAGATGTGATATAAATACATAGGTGCTTAATATTGTTGCAAATGCTGAAAAACTGCGAAGGGAAATAGCCCAAGGCGTGCTTCAACATTATTACAAATCCTGAACTTCATTCCTGAGAAGGCATATAAGTTAATCTAAAACTGACAAAGCTAGTGAAAAATGGAAAGAGAGTCTTTATATGCCTAGTGCGAGTGAAATATGAAATGACTGCAGATGGTGTTAGAGCAGAGCTGTGAGCAATGCGGCTGACAGAGCTACACTTTGACTGTGAGGGTGTGAGTATGATGATGTGTGCCAGCGGTGGAGCAGAGAGCTGTCAGGGTGCTGTCAGGTGTCCAGCTGGACGGATGGAGACTGAAGAGGGAACGGACCTGTCACTCACTGCTGGGCGATGTGCCCTAACAGATGTGCACTAGAGGCACCTGACCCACATACAGCTGCCCCCTCATCAGCCAAATCATTAGTGTAGGTCAGCAGGGCTCTGTCTGGCCCCTGATCGTATACTATGATGGAGTGCTGCTTTTAAAGGAACAGTTCAGAGAATTTCCCTTGCTCCAAATTTACTCACCCAGACAGTACATGTTTGGTGTCTAAAATTTGCTTACTTTGGTTCTGCACTGGAAGTACGAGGCCAACATAGCTGGTAATGGAAACTTATTTCCAGCAATTAACACCATGCAGACTGTACGATAATCATCACACACTTGCTTCAAACCACAATGAGTTGTTACGCAATCTGAAATAAACGTAATTATGCCGTTTCTGACACTCTCTAACACACTGTACATTGACAAGACCCATTTATGCAGATTAATCAATTATTAATTGAATAATTCACATGAATAATCAACTATCATAATATTTGTTTTTTGCCGCCCTAGTTGTGAAATTTTATGAAAGCAACTAACTGTTTCCTTGGATATTTTTGTACACTTATCATCAGTCCTGTTTTCCTTTTTCTTTCTAGTCTGACTGGCTAGGGTCAGATCAGGCGAGCAATGACCACCAACAGTGGATGATGATTTAACAATATGAAAGAGACATATATATCAAATCATTTTACATACTACTGCAGTGGTTACTCTAGCACAGAGGTAATGTCAAGGAATCTTATGAAGAACGAAGTGGCTCTGCATTTTATGATGTGCACCCACATCAGTAGCACAACTTGTTTAATTTATATTGCAACATGAGAAGAAAACTATCTATAAAAATGTTTAAACACACACACACACACACACACACACACACACACACACACACACACACATATGTGTATAGCTATGGCAGCAAATTTGCAGCCTGAATTTTTCCCATACTTTTGTGCATTGTTTGCCAAACTGTTCCCTTTTAACCAGGTTCTAGTCTCACGACTGATGTGCTACGTATGAGCAGTCATCCTACCGATTTGGTTGTTTCTGTCATTCTCGTCTCTTCCTCCATCAGACTCACTGAGCTTCTCATTGATCTGACCGACCATGTCGTCTTCCGTGTCCACAATATTTAGGTCTTCATCCTCGTGCCGGTCACCTTCATCTTCCTCGTCTTCGCTGCTGCTGCTGATATCGTTAAAAATCTCCCGAAGTTCATCACGCGGAGCTGGATGAGAAAGACAAAGAGGAGTGTGTGTCTGACCTCACTGTGAATAAATGTAGCACAAGAATAGGGTTTCTTGAACTTTTGGGAATCCTCAGGATTGGGATTAAGGACACATCCACATAACACAGCAGTCAACCTGAGGACAATGTGGGATGAAAGTGAGTCATTATATATTAAAAGCAGAGCTGCAAAACATCGAGAAAATATCCAATTGTGATTTTCTAACGAATGTTGGTATAGCGAACTGTGATTACTTTACATTCATTGAAAACCTTGACCTTAATCTATAAAATGGCTTAAAGCTTGAATACTGAATCTAGTGCACCAGGCTGCCAGTTAACTGTGGTTGTGATGCCACAGCACATAGGTTTTTGGTTGCTTCTTATTGGTCTGACTCATCAAGATGAGTCTTCTTTCAGCCCTAATTAAAAGACAAATCACTTTAGACAGGGATTTCAGACTGACTTTGACAGTCTGACAAAATTTATTGCAATCAGGTTGTTTTAATCTTTAAAAAGAAAAAAAAGAAAAAAAGAATGAGTAAATGGAACTCTAGTGGTAAGAAGTCCTAAGATTAGGTGGTTCTGGCTGTGCCCATTGGCAAGGCACTTAACCCCCTCACTGCCTCGGTCAGCGATGATCTGCAGGCAACAATTTGCTGCTCCTAGACTGGACATAATTAGGTGGCAAAATGGCCAATTTGCGTAGTATTGTGGATCAAAAAAAAACTAATGTACGGTTGTGTCATTTTGGAAGTTTCTATTACCTGATGAGCCATGGCTTTTGTGGCCAGAGACTCCAGGTGAGGAGTCCAGATTGGAGAGAGACAGATTATTATCTGCTTCTTTGGTCTCATCCTCAGCAATCACCTCCCATCCTGATAGCCAAGTCAAGGTAAACACATAAGCCATGCACAATGCAGGCAAGCCCAACATCAGCATATATTCACGCTGGCCCTCAGCACAGCCCTACTGTCATTGTGTACCTAAAGTTTACAGAGCAACTCTGACACCTGGTGGCAGGACTGTGCACCACACTACTTTCAACTGAATCCACTGCAATGCAACAAAGGTGATAAGGATGATGGGGAGGTATAAACAAAGCCACAACTGATTCGGTCTAGTCATGACAGCTGTGAACATGTGGAAGTGAAAAACACATAAAAGGGGCACTTGAAAGGATACGGACACTGACGGCCTCAGAGTCTGTGCTCAGGAGCCTCTTTACCTCTTTCTCTACATCAGGAGACTCAATGTACTGCAAGATAAAGCAGATTAGAGTTCAGCTGCAGGGAATACTTTCTGTAAACACCCACCCACACCCCCACAGAGTAAACCACTAAAAGCAACGGCTGGCTGCATGCCAGAAAGCACATTAGTGATTAAAAGGGGGAGCCAAATCAATAGCTAGCTTCACCTTAAAGGTGATTTATTCAGGAGGCAGAGTAGGAACTTCACTCTAACTTGCTCACTGTCACTTCCGTCAAAGCACCTTGTAAAATTGCTTATGTGCACTGCTGAGGGACAAATGAAGCCAGAAAACTTTATTTATATGTAAACTGCAGTTTTAGCATCAATCCATTTTTCTTTCTTACTTTTCCACTCAAGAAATGTAAATTTGTTGTTTGATTGGGACAGAGGAAAGACTGCAGAATCATCAGAACAAAAGTAAAAGAAAGAGGGGGAAGAGAGATAAAATGGGAGAAACAGTCAAGGGGAAATGAAACGAGGTTACCTTCTTCTTCGCAGTCTTTCTGAATCGCCTCTTTCTCGTGTTCTTTAGAGGGCAGGTAACTGGAGAGAGAAGCATAATTGGATATTAAATGAGTTCAATCCATCACTGACAGATGACGCTTCAACCTCATGGCTTCTGATGCGTTAGCACTGTCTGGAGCGACTACATAACCTTAATCAGCACATTCCAGTACGGGGAAAGAAAGGAAAGACTTACTGCCGTGGTTCCAGATGAACTTCTTGTCTTTGTCCTTGTCCTTTTTCTTGCTTTTGGAGTCTGTAGTGCCAGTGGGCTCCTCTAGAGGGGGGTAGAGGTCTCCATCAAGAGTGCAGACTAACATCTACCCGCAGGGAATACAAAAAAGTGTTCAGACTAATTAAGCCTGCTGGACATATTCTGCCATGAATAACTTATCTTTTGTAAGCTTGCTCTTCCTTATTTATATCATTAGTTACACAATACTGCAAGGCACGGAATGTTAAGATCAATACTTTCAGCTTATCTATGTCAAGACACTGCCTGCACCACTGCACAAGCTCTTCCCTTAGGACTAGCTGATGTTACCTGACAGACGTCAGCAGTCTTATAAAAGGTCTTCTTGTCAACTGTTTTTAAAGACTCCAGGATGCAGGGCAAATCTACTAATTTACAAGCTAAAGGGACACGATCCACTCTTACAATCCCGTGGCGGCCATCGGCTACACATTAGGAAACAAACAGGGTTAGTGTTACCATCACAAAGAAAATAGCTAAAATGATTAATGAAACAGTAATCTGTAAATAACACATCAAATTAAGGAAAGCTGTGGGTAAAACTTAACACTTAACTTACAAAAAATTTAAATATGCAAACATGAAAACATGATATGAATAAGAAATTTCAGTTTGTTGCTTATGTTCAATGCAATAGCAACAATTACTGTGGTAATGGTAGTTAAATTCATCAATAAAAACTAAAAATAATCAGGACAAGTCAACAAGATCAGAGTCATATGTTCATTGCTACGCTTCTCTCATATAAGTCTTCCTCTGAATCATTTTTGATTTTGTGCACCTACCATGCAACTCTATAGTGAGTCTGTCTTTAAGATTCATGCTGCCAGACTGAGCAATCTGTCTCACTGTGGAGGCATACTCCTAAAGGGAGAAGCATTTAGTCAGCGTTAGTAATAGCTCCCATCATGTTGTAAAGCAGATATTCAGTTCAAAAAAGATAAACAACAGGACACTGGAACTCAGTATAGTTGAAGGCTGCAGTGTCAGACCCCGAATAATTACCTTATTTATTATCCAGGGTACCTCAGATTGTCGGTGAACAAATACCTGTCTCATGTCTCAAATGAGTCTCAACAGGACTATCATTTAGGCATTTAGATTCTTGAGGCAAGTCAAAGTTATCTGTATACTCAAATGGGTTTAATTAAAGACCAAAAGATGAACATGAGAATCCATGAGTGTACAAACATAAATGTGCTAATGTCACCTTTTATTTCTTAACATTTCTCCATGGTTTATTATTTTAGAATGACTTTTTTCAGTTCTCCTATTTAACATGACTGTGAGTATGGGGGGAAAAAACATTACTGAAAGCACAACACACTTGAGTGTTAGTTGACACTTGAACTCAAATTCAAAAACCATAATCTAACCTGCAGTCAATTACTTTCGACAGCTCAACCTCAAACTTGAGACAAAATTTGTAACAAGCATTGTCATCAGAGATGCACCAATATGGGAAATGTAGGCCAATATTTGATAGTTTCCATGTACATATGTGCTGATATATAAACGTTTATAAAATGTGGGGTGCCCCTTTTAATTGGATAGCCTGCAATAGATTGTTATCAGATAATATCTAGCCATTCATGTCACAAGCTCGCTGGTGAAACTCAATTGATTTTTCAACAGCAATAAGGTTAAAGTTATAATTAGGATCAGGGTTCCGTTTTGGACCAAGGTGAGAGTAAGATTTTGGTTTTAGATTAATGTCAATGTTAGAGTTAGGCTGTAGTCTAAGGTTAGGATTAGGACATGATTTAGGATTAGGTTATGGATTGAGGTTAGGATTGGGATTAGGCAAGGGCTAGGGAAAATTTTTAGTTTACGAATTATCCTTTAGTTTAATGCATGTTAAATTCAAGGTAAGTGCCTGGAAAGTATATCAAAAAAAATAAAAATAAAATAATAATAATAATAATAATAATGTTACAAAAGTAGAATTTGGCATTTGGTCGATTCTCCTGGCTTAGCATTTCAACATATGCACATGCAGAACATCTGAACACAGTAAAGGCCATTACACACCACCTAAGACACAAATAAACAACATGAAAATGCAGAATATACAGAAGTTTTTTTTGCATTAAAACTATAGAACTGACATGATGCAATTTTATTTTACTTCGCTGCTTTGTTTGTGCTGTGAAGGAAACAAATGAACAGGCAGAATATCTTTGAGTGACACAGACATACTTAGATATTTCTTATTTAGAAAAGGGAAAAATGCACAAAAAGTTGTACCTCCTGATTCAGCAAGTTTATTAGCTCTTTTACACAGAACTCTGACATTAGAACAGCTTTGGACATGCTAGCTCCACATATGACTAAGCCAAAGACAAAAGAATCCATTTGACAGCTGTCAAAAGGCTTTTTTCACCATCTGTAAAACTGCAAATAATGCACAAGATATCATCATTTATATATGTATTAAAATTAATTTACTAAGACACAAATAATCACGCTCAGTCTATAAAGACCTTAACTGTCATCAATAAACGCGCCATCAAATATCGGTTTAAAATATTTGCGAAATCTAAACATTTTTCCAAAGACATTTTTTTTTATTGTGCATCCCTAATTGTCATTGTTCTGGTACTAAAATAAAAGCAAATGCAACTGTCTACGGTACTTATAAGAGCCCAGCGTGAATGGTCTACAACGCTCCTATCACGTGGCTGCCATTAGATATCTACATGAGTTTATAGTGCCCAAGTCTACTTCAAGGCCATAATTTAATTAGAATTACAACTGCAAACAAAGATTCAAGATGTTTATAATTAATGTGAATGTGAATTATGAACAAGCAAAAGGGAATTTGAATTTTAGTGGGCATAAATCAAGAGGGCACACGTGAAATCCAATAAAATATGTGCTGAATGTATTTATTCTGGGGAAAACAATGCTCACCTGAGGAAGCCGCAGAATAAATTGACTCTCCAGCTCATGAGGAGCATCCTCCTTACTTTTGGAACCAACTTTTCCGACTACAAAAAGAAACAAAAGTGTTTGGAAAACATGCATATACAGACTTGATTAAAACCATCACTACAGGTGGCTATCACCTGGGAGACAGAGGGGGTGGATTTAACAGAAACACCTTACAGTATACTAACATACAGTTAGAGAGTGGGGCCACAGTGTGCCTTCGAAACAGCTTCCATACTTTCTAAAATTACTTTCTAAAAACACTCTGTGATTTGGCGTTGCTTTCATGTTGACATTTGCTTTCTGCAGTCTGCCTCGTGCCGCCCTCTTGCCCACATGGGTCCCCTTTTTTGAAAACTAAAATATGGTCACCCAACTATTGTGCATCTAGCTACCTCGCATTAGTTAACTTACCTTTCGCTTTAGAGGTCATCTTGATCTTGTTATGTTTCTGTACGTGATATCAGGTGATGATTTCTACCTCCTGAAAACAGAAAGAGAGCCGTTAGCGAATTTATTGTTTGTAGCTTTAGCCTTTAAGTTAGAAAGCTAGTAAATAGCAAACAAATTCAAAACCACCAACACAACCCCGCCTGCAGTTATTACAAAGATGTAATATAATCTAACGGTTACTCAGCTACCTCAACAGTGTATCGAGCTAACAACATTAGCTAGCTAGCTTGTGTGTGTAATACAAAGTGAGCAAGTTACAGAAATTTGCACGGCATGAACACTTTCACTTACACAAAACATGAGCATCCACGGAAGTAGGGAACTATAAAGAACCATTAGCCAGAACGGATGACATCTTAATCTCCACAGATAGCCAGTTGGTAGCTACCAAGGCGGACGGACAAAATCGCTTTTTCTTCAGTAAAACATTCAAGTTACTCGTTGGTGTTGCACCATGGCGCTATCTCAACTCTGGTTACCATACTGCCATCTGCCGGTACGGGCTTGAGGCTACTTTTTGCGTTCTTCTGTAATTCATTTTCGTCTGTTTTAAGTATTTGAATTGTTTTTTTTTTAATATATTTTTTTCCCTAAATATTCCAATCAAGTATGTGTGTGTATTATATACACACATATATATATGTTTTTCAAGGAATATGGAGCCACTGCTGTCTTGGGAAAAAATTAAAAGAAATGAAATAGGTAAAGTTGTCATATTCACTGTTTATTTATTTCTCCACGAGTCAGGCGCTAAGTAAACACTAGGGGGCGCGGCTTATAGGTCTGATCTGAGGTCAGTGTTAGACCCAAGATACACGTCTCTGTAAGTTAGCGAACTGGATCGGTTGTACAATGCAAGCTAATTCATTTAGTCAGAAAATTCGAACACTAAATGAAATGTTATTTACTAGTGTACAGAGCATGGATAGATCATTTGTTTCGATAGATCATTTGTTTTAGTTTTTCTTATCTGCTCACTAGCCATGCGATTTAGCTAGCAAAGCCATCAAAATATCTCGCTATTAAGTTAGAAAATATCGACCAACGTATTTTACAGAGTTGAATGTGCGGTTTATGTCTAATCAACAAATGCCATAATTATGTATATGTATGTTTAAAAACAACATGTACCTATATGTCATGTAAAAAATGAATTAGAAGAATTAACTCAATCGAAGAGGAAGTTTATAAAGCGGAGCACAGCAGATTAGATGGACGCAAGCTGGCTAGTTAACTAGGTTAGCTAACTAGGTTACAACACTCGGCTCTCTTTTTTTCTTATGTCAGACAGATCGTTTTGCTTCCTTTTCGAATGATTTGGCTGAAACATGCCCGCTACAATGAAAGAAAATAACTTACATATGAGGCGAGGTACATGTACAAAAAATGACAAGACTGAACGCTGGTTAAGCTCCCATATGGTCTAGCGGTTAGGATTCCTGGTTTTCACCCAGGCGGCCCGGGTTCGACTCCCGGTATGGGAATGAACGTTTTGCTTCTGTTCGTGTTAGACATGGCGTGGATCTTAATTAACTAAATAAATAGGTGTAGTTAAACAGCTGAATCAAATAAGAGAGCCGGTCTGTGAAAGTAGAATGCTCGCAATTTTACTGTCATTAAAACTGCACTGAACTGACGAGCTCCAAAACAGCAGCCAGCCGTCAGATATGGGAGGGGCATTATTTTCATTTAATGAGGTGCTCATGTGATGATACAAGTTTGATGTATTTATGAAAATATGATTAACTGCACTTTTAGAAGGAAAAACGTTAAAATAGGACTCTTTGATGACTTTCTTGTAGACTGCTGCCAAACAGATTGGTATAAACTATCGGTGCGTTGAAGAGTGACGACTTGACGTATTATTTCACTTTTCGAGGAATTTATTTCTTTCACATTTTCATTCAGTACCTGCTACCTTAAGACTCGGTCTATGTGTGGTATACCGAATCTTTTTCCCTGAGCCAATGTTGTCCAATCAGTTTCGAGGGAAAATGTGACTGCTAGGAATTCCCCACACGCCGCCTTCCAGTTCCAGCGAAAACAGTGGGACCTTACGGCAGACACGAGACACAAACGCAGCCAGAAAGCTGCGCTGGCTGACGCGGTCTGTGAGAAAGTAACTAAATGAGCAGACTAACACAGCCCTGAGAGGACTTTTCCCAAACCGCACAAAGGATACAAGAGACCGTGGAGAATGTCAAAAGGAGTAGTTCCATTGAAGTGGGCATAGCATTTACATCACAAGCATGCGAGACTTCAACTGACATTCAACTTCTTACAAGAACAAGCGTCACGAATTACGGTAAGTTATTCTTTTTTCCATACAATTCAATCGCAAAGCGAGTTAAAACGTCGCACTTCTAACACGAATGGCTGTATCATTGAATAACCGTTAAGCTTTTAAAGCGGGCTGTGTACGCACAACCGAAATAGTTTCACAGACATACATAGCTGTACACCGCGACTGTGTTCTTTTTAACGTGCAGTTATATGAAGATGCATTTGTACAGGCTAAGATAATTATGACATTTTGAGCTGGAACAATCTTTGAATTAGTGCCATATGATCGCATTCATTAAACCACTGAGTAAAAGACTTACATTGTTGTTCTCTCAGTGACTGCGCTTTTAATCAGAGCAACCCACAGGCTAGAACGACCCACTATTAGCACCATAGCATAACTCTGCACTTAGCTGTACCAACATGATGGAGAGCATGTGACTCAGTGAGCCGTTTACTGTGAGGGTCCGTTGTCTCAGACTCACACAAGAGCCTTTAGGAAACAGTGGGGGCTTCACGGTTCTTTAAGCGCCACTTTTCAGATTGTAGTGTTCAGCATTATGAATAAACACTGCTTACTGTTTATTTCTGATAAATATTCAGGTTCACTTCATTAAAACCTGATTTGCCTTTCTGTTTGACTCAACTCGCCTTTCTTGTTTTGACTTCTGTTTGTAGTAAGTAAGTAGTACCACCGTGTAGTAAAGAAAACTGTTAAATCTACTTGGAGATATTAACAGTTAATAAAATAGGCATTATGTAAACTGATTTAAGGTGATATGGCCACTGTTGTTGTTGAGAGTTTTCCTAAGAGCGTCGATGCTTAGCCCATCTGTTAACTGTCCAAATGTTTGCCAGATGTTTACATTTTTTTGGGCTAGGATGCTGGCCTTTTGGGACATGCAAGATGAAGTATCTCATTTGGCCGGTCGTTGGGAGGAGCAGAAATAGTTTTATGCTGCCTTGCGATGGGAGTTTTTGGTATTACTCAGCACAGCCTGTCCAGAAAGGATATCAGCTGGTTCTGATGGAGCCCTCCCATTACTGCAAGCCCCCTCCTCTACATCCCAGAGGCCCTGAGATAGCTGGAAATTTCAGTCTTCTGAAACCAATTATCCTCAGTAAGAGGCTCTAAATATACCCTCAGCAGTGTAGCTGCTCTCTAACCCAATGCAAACTTGGTCTTTTCCTTGGAAAAAAAGGTGCCCTCAGTGCATTTAACCCCTTCATCTTGCTGGCACTTTGTGTGCACTGCCACAGTTATGTGCAGTGACCCTGTCCTGCCTTTGAACTACATTGCCAGAGGGACTTATCTGCACAAAGAAATTCTGAGGGACTGGCCGCCTTTCATTAGATCAGGCGCAGGATTATGATGTCGCCAGATGAGAATGGGAAGCTTCTGTCAATAGGGCAACTGGAATTCCCTTGTACTCAGGGTGGTGTGACCATGATATCACCGTCAGCAGAGAGCAAACTGAGGAGCTGAGAAGTGTTAGCAGACAGTAGAAGACCCTGACTCATTGCACTCTACTGTGCTCATCCTCAGCGTCGCAGCCTTGGCCTGATGGTTTGGAAATCGCATAAGATATGAGCTAATGGGCTCGCTATTGATTTGTCTGCTCATTTGAAGACATTTGTCTTTATAAACTCTCCATCCAGGAACTGCATCACCAGGGCATCGGCAACATGAGATGACTCACTTTCACAGACACATGACATGTGGGTTAGACATCTGGAGTCAGTTAGAAAGAAGCACTTTTAGGGGGTAAAGTCTCATTACAATATAACTGAGGTTCTGTGATTGTTTGGTATGTACAGTAGTAGCCTTTAAATAAATAAAACCTAAAATGCTCAAAACCCTTTTTGAGTGAGATGGACTATAACATCCACAAGGTGGCATTGTTCATATATAAGCATATGATTTGTCATGTGAACAAAACATGAGAGAGAGGATGTGACATTATTTGTCATCTTTCAGTGTTGCATCATTATAAAGGTGAAGAGGCTTACGCTGTAGCCTGGCTGCAACTTTCTAACTTTTTCCACTCTCTGATTTATCTCAGCATGTGTTGTTGTTTAACTGTCTTGAACAAAAGTGGCCTTGTTAGTGACTCGTTCAGGAGTCAGTTGTTCCATTTCTGCAAAAAAAAAAAAGATTCCATGTTGACATGAGTTCTTCTGAAAAGTGTGGGAACTTTTGTCTAGTTCCTAGTTTCTTTGTGTCAACACATGGAGCTTTGTCACTTGAGTTCCAGTGAGGCTGTAGCCTGTAGGACCTCACAGATTAGGGAAATTCCACTTGTAACACCATGCCGTTTGGAGTTCACCTGCTGTTGTGACAGGAATTTGCCACAGGCGGGGCCTGCCATCAGCGATGTCATGTTCAAATATTCAAACAAGTGACTTAAATGTTTCTTTGATACTAAGATGGAGCTAGCAACAGTTCCCTGGTGCGTATAATGGCTTTTTCACACATTGAACTAAAGCCTACTTCTTTCTAGAATTCTCATGTCCTACCTAGTCTTTGTTACCTGTACTTATTTGAGTGCTACTCTTATAGTGCGTTTTTGACCTGAGATGTTACATGGCCAAATAAGGATGTAATGATTTCAGTGTATATGTAAAAATCAAATTTGAAGTAGTTTATTGAAATTTAAAACTGTTTCAGCCCTCGCTCTCTTCTGCGCTCTCTCATTTATGATCTTACGCCGAAACTCGACAGTGATACAAACTAAGCATAAGGGTGCATCCTATCAGAGTAAAGTTGTCAGCGAGGGGGGGGGCTTATTTTATGTTTATACCCACACTCAAATGACTGGGCTTTTTAGAAAGCAAAGATTAGTTCAAGATAAGTTACATACAGTGACCTGTGTTTGTTCTTCCACAACCACAACACAACGTGATTATTAATATCTCTTTTAAGATTGTTTGAATGCTACATTGCTTTTGCAAAAGCTGGCCAAGGATAGTATATACATATCAAGGTGGTAGTGACCAGAGCCTTCTCTCTTTATTGGGTACATTATGGACCTGTTTTATCAGAGGCATTATTGCTTTTTTAGGCTTCGCTATGCAGCCTTGATGTGCTTTGTTGCAACTGATGGGAGACATAAAGAGCTCGGCAGCTGTTTTTACAGGAGACACTCTTTCTAACTGATGGCTAATATAATAGAGGC